CGAGGGGAGGGGAAGGCCTGGCGGGCGCCGCTCCCGCAGCCCGCCCTTCCCCGCGGGACTGCCCGGAGCTGCGCTGCCTTTGTCGGCGCCCCACGGAGGCGTTCTGGGGAGGAGAGCCAGAGAGCCCTGAAATGTAGTGTCGATTGCCAGTCAGGGTCCTGTCTGATAACGCGATGCGCTAAACTCGGCTCGCAGGGTTCCTTTATCAAGCCCCTCTAAATGCCTAGAAAAATAGATGACTCCAAATTATTGAAGTGCAATTAAGGCCACAAAATAAAAGACACCTGAATTGACTCTGTATAAGGCAGACGGGGTTCAGTTCGGCTTAGCAGCAGAGAAATGCGCGGTCTGAGCAGAATTACTGCAATTTCAGATGAAGGTCCAAGCGTGTCGAAAGGCTCTTGTCTGATCCTATTTGGGTCCCACAAGGAGCACCGCTGAAGCAGAGCTAGTAAATATTGATGGATTCGAGCTTCATGTCCTGAAATCAGGTCTGTCAATGCAGTGCTTCCCGTTCTGTCACAGCACACCAGACATTTTCTACTCTTGGGCACCGTGATTCCCCTATTACTATTTGGAAACTGGGTAGTGGATTGCATAGTCACTCTTTTATCCAGCAACTTGCAGAAGTAATCAAGCTTTGATGCAGAATATGATGTCAAATAAAGTACACGTTCCTGGTACTGGAAAAACACTGTTCTCTCTGACATATGTTTCAAGCACGCTTTCACAATTTATTGTTTCCATTAGAAAAGTATCTAGTAATCTGAAAATCGATCTGAAAACCATTGTTCTAGATACTACACCTGACACATAATAAAAAGAAAGCTCATGCCCTGCAGAGCTTGTAGCAAGAGCAGATTAAACATGTTCTAAGGATACCCGTTGAGAGAGTTGTGCAGGTTTTCTCAGGTCTCACAAACGTATTGCACCAGCACAAACAAACCTGCCAGAGCACTTTTCCAAACACCAGCACGCAAACAGACAGGTCCAAAGAAAAAGGCTGAAGCTTTAACCTACCTCGGAACTCTTCCCTTGCTTCTAACAAGCCCTCCTGACTCTGAATGACCTCTCGGTTCTCCACAGAAGCGAGGGCCGCAGCTCAGGGGAAGCCAGCATCTCTCCCGAGCGAGCGAGGGCAGAGCAGCAGCACGCACAAAGGTGATGGGTTTCTCCACAGGCAGACACACGCACGCACCGTGCACCGCCTCTCCGGGCTACCTGTCTCATCTTGTCTTAGCCATTTCTAACGAGCAGGCAGGGTAATGGAGCATGCAGAAATCTTGCTTTTTGAAGCACCCTGGAAACAGGCTTGTGTTTTTTGGTACCTAGGTGGCCCGGAAGATCTTGTTGGGAAGCAAGCACCAAATAGGTAGGAAAATAGGCACAGTTATGGGGGAACCTCAGTTTCATGCTTCTTGGGCTTCTCAGTGACCTACAAGAACCAAGAAGCACCAGAAGAGGAGACTGAAACTGCCTCTCTCTTGCTCATTCTTCAGTGCCAGATCACATCAGGCTGTAAGATACCTGAGGACTGTTTGTTTGCAGACTGCTGGAAGACAGAGACGGAATCACCTATTGGTGAGTCATAACCACACAATCGCAGAGGAGTGATGGCACAGACTCGCAAAGACACAGAGAGTGATAACAGCTTAAAACTGTCTTCTTTCCCCTTCTACTTTTTGATAAAAAAACAAAATACTGGGACTAGATTCTCAGCCGGGGCAAAGGAAAGTAACTCCATTGCTTTTGTCACAGCACACATTTACACTTTCTGAGGTTGTAGCCCGTTCTGTTTGTCAAAAATTGTTCTTCCTGAGTAGATTATTCCTTCCTTTCTATAAACTTGAGTTTAATTCTTGGAAAATGGCTGGCTTGCTATGTTCTTTATTGTTGTAAGCTTGCTTGACAGGGGAAAGGAAGGCTAATCAAACACTGGGCCACTGGCATGCAGAGCAATAAAAAGGAAAATGGGAGTATCTTAGGTCCTTACTGCCACAGTAAAACTCCAAAAATAAAATGTTTTGTTGCAAAATGCAGTGGAGTTGAAAAGCTCTTCCATTATTCCCATCCTTCATTTTTTAACGATTGTTTTCAACAAATTGTATGTAACTTGCAGTTGGAAGGCCATAACTCATAGACGTGCTTATCCTGTCATGGCTTTTTGTACCACCATTGTAAATTCAGTCTGTAAAGGTACATTACTGATTTTTGTGGGTGATGTGACCCAAAATTAACTCCTTGGTATTTTCACCCCCTCTTTAACTTCTGTAAGAGGGGCATTGTAGACAAGACCTAAACTTAACTGTCCACTGTGTGACATACAGACATGCCAAGAGCTTAGTGTGCAACTGAACTTCCTCATCAGCTACAGATCAAGGCTACATTTTAAAAATTAGAGTAATTATTTTTTCTCCCTAATTAAAAAAACTCAAAAGAACATGAAAAGGTCTTCTTGTGACCATCAAAATCATCAGCAAAGTAACAGTAAATTTTTAGCTTCACAAGGTTACATGCTTAAATACATCCAGATATGCACCATATATTTTTGATATACTGGAGGGTTTAGCAGTTCTCAGCAGATGTGGAGAGTAGATTAGTGGTGTCAGTTTCTATTGTTGTTCTGGATCTCCTCTTGTCACCATATCTACTAGTTCACCTGACTTTTCATGCATATTGTTTTCTGGTTGTTTCCATGAGTTTTTGAGCTCTCCTTAGTCCATTTTCCTGGATGCACACCTTTTCTGTGTAACGAAAACTTTCTTGGAAAGTGTTTGTAAGGAAGGCTCTGTCACTGTGCTCCCTTTAACAATGTCTCTGAGAGCATACTGAGAAAAGCAAAGATCTCTGTGAGTTTTGCTTCCCCATTGCACCATATTCTTCATGATTTTTTAATTTAGTCCTCCTGCAGATACACTAGACTCAGGAAACCTGCAAGTCCTTTTCTCATACTGGGATGTTTTCTTGCCCATCTTTCCCTAAGCTTAGAGGATGAGTAGTGTCATGGCAGAAAGCAAACTGGTAAGTAATAGACTTTTAAAAATTTCTGTCTTTCTAGGGAATGCAAATTGTTTCCTTGTAGTATCAGACAGAGTAACACAAGTAACTTGCCATGGCAACCAGCTTATGGAACAGAAAAAGATATATCATTATAAGGTGCTTTGTTACTGTAACACGGAAAGAAGCTGAGACCTTATCAGTTTTGTTCACTTGTGTGTCATGCATCATCTAGGTAGCAGAACCTGTCAGTAGAAGTTTGTATTCGATTCAGTGCAAGTCATCTGCCTTGTGGGCCTATCTGATACTTGGATCAAAGCTGAAGTGCAGTCAGAAGGAAAGAAGGAAGTGTTCAGAAGAATTGAAACAAGGCTGTATTCTCAGAGGCACAAAGACAAAGCCATTTCCTCAGCAAGCTGATGCAACTCTGAAGATGCCAGTAAGGGATGAACCAATTCTGAAATTAATTTGGCTTGCATTCTCTGACAGTCTCCATTATTTTACTGTCCTCCTTTATTTTTTTAAAGTGAAGTAAGTCTGCGGATCTGTAAATGTTTTGGATTTACCTGGGAGAAAGGATGGAACAGGCTTGCAAAGTCTCTCTTCAAACCCATTCTCTTCACAGGGATGCTTCAGGGAAGGACAGACTCATTGCCACTCAGCTTGCTTGGGTTAGTGGGTGAATTTAGAAATGGCAAAGGGAATCAGAGGGCAGAGAGGGGAAACCCTCTAGTTATCACTTTGAGAGGAAATAAAAACTGAGTTTTGTTAGCTCAGAGGAGGACAATTTTGAAAACTGTTGCTTGTGCAGAGAGGCCAGTGGAACTACCCTGTGCTGAGGATAGGCTCATGTGTAGATCTGGAGTGGGTCTAGGGTATGCTTTACACTGGAGCTGGAAACAATGTCTTCTGTGGGACAGATTTGAAAAGTGAAGGAAAGGCTGAAAGTTTCTTAATCCCTTGACTACTGATTTGAGCTACAAGTAACACAGCTCCACCTGTGTGATGGACTGAAGTGTATGCTCCCCCTTCTATTTTAAAAATACTCTCTCCCAGTTAACATTTATGCTGTTCATGCACTAGTATGAATACTTGAGAAACAGTGGCCAGCTTTCTGAGCTGCCTGGGGCCTAAACGAATTCACAGCTAAAATTCTCATGACTCATGGACAATTCTCTTCTAGCTTCCTGGTGAGGTTGTAGAAAAAATACTGCTAGATTACAAACCCTGACAATAGCATGACTTGGAAAGAAGCCTTTGAAAAGAAACTCTTAATGTATCAGATAAATCTATGTGAGATGCAAAGCTAGAGCTCACTCTTGACAATGAATTCTTATACTGTGAGTGACTGACTATAAAAAGACTTGGGAAAAATCTGAGTCTCCTGGAACACAAAGAAACCATGAGATAAATGAAAGTCATCTCAAAGGAGCCATGCTAAAACCGTTCAACACTGTAATTTAACACAGTCTCCTAGACACTGGGAAAAGTCAATGGGCTTATCCTTACTGCAGGTTGTACTGAGAGAGATTTAGCCACAAGAGACATCACAAGTGTTAAATGCCACAAGTGTGCGCTGTCATCTCAGGGGCCTGGGAATCTTGGAGATACCTAAGACTTGGAAGCAGCAGTCCAACTGCTGAAAAAAAGACCAGTCAGTCCTGGCTGCAAATGGTTTTTAAGACTGACACTGAACTGGAAAGATCTCCTGGAATAATCAGTTAACAAAAGAAAACACTGAATTAATTAATCAATCCTCAATAAATCAACAAGATCTTCTTCTGTATCATCTCCAAAGACATGACATTGCTTCAGATGACTCAAGGGACCACTTTGTTTTTAATTCCCAAAATAATGGCATTAATATTGGATTAAATTCTACTAAATAAGAGTGCTCAGGCTTCTTTCAACCAAACCATTTGAAATGTTGCAGAAGATTCTCAGTGGGCAGGGCAAAGTTGTCACTTCTGGAGGGTTATCTGATCCAGGACAAGATCTTTCTTATGACGGATTTCCTTTATGAAATAAGCAAAGCAGCATCTTGCCATGTGCCTGGCCCAAGCTCCACCAAAACTAGAGAAAGAAAAGATTCCTGTTGACTGAAATAAATTTTTCTAACAGTTGGATTGGGTCAATTTTGAACTGAGAATAGAAACTTGCAGAGACGATGCTCTGGAATCACAGAAATGGAAGGCTTTGTAATCAGAGCTTGGAAGTGGAAGGAGATTCATGTTCCATAGTTTAAAAATACAGACAGCTGCTGATTCCTTTTTTTGCTATTATAAACCCCACAACCCAAACACACACACATACACACACAAAAGACATAATTCAAAGACTGGTCATTTCCCAGTCAGCCTTTTTGTTGAGACACTGTGGGAATGAGCAACTATCACATCTCCCTAGATGTGGTATGCAATAGTTGTTAACATGAGGCCCTCCCCTGAGTTGATGATGAGATGGTTGGACTTCAGATTTTGCTGTGTGGGGTGAGCAGTGGGGAGAGATGAGACATGGGTTTGGTCTCTGGGTATTTACAAGCAGTGTGGCTTTCTACAACTGCCTGCTGGTTTCAGTCTGATCTGAAGCACACTGCCCTCTGCAGTGTCCTGTTTGCTCCTGTAGCTGTTTGCTTAAGCCCCCAAGAAATGTTCTTTTTGGGTACTCATGCTTTTTCCAGGGAGCTGTCGCTGATCATGTGGTGAATCTGGAGCCTGAGTTATTTAGAAATGACACTGATTCTTTCATGAAATGCCCCCACCTCATCAAAAGTTGATAGGGTTGGTGAGGTCCTATGTCTCCTTCCACTCTCTGCTGAGCCTGCCAACGCAGATCAGCAAGGGTCAACTGCAGTAGGAGGCCTGGTAATGCAGAAATCTGCAAGTTGGGAGCCACACAGATTTTCCTGGCAGTGGCTTGCTGGCATATGTACAGGAGCTTTTGTTAGCTGTCAGCCTGAATGGAATGTCAATCATTCCCTTGGAGCCTGATCTTCAGATCACTGCCCTCTGAGAGAGGGCTTTTGCCTTCGTCCTCATACAGCAATAACTCAGGTCTTTGGAAGCTGGAAGCCTTCTTATTTTTTTGTTAAGAAGCCCTTGTGATATTTAGTTCCCATGTGATTTTCTTTTTCAAACTCTACAGAAAAGTTTGAGCCCTTTGCAACTGATACTCTACCAGGGATTTTTATGGGACAGTTTGGATCAGTTACCATGCTCTGGGTCATCTGTCACTTTTGCTGGCAGAAGCCAGATTTCCAGAGTGGAAGTGGGATGAGTTGCTAAGGGATGTCTTGCGCTCTATGTCATTTCTGCATTCACTGATGTGCAACAGATTTATCTGTGTAGTTCAAGGCCTCTCTGAACCAGATGAGTTTGTACTGAAATTTCAGACCATCCCACATGTTCTCCTGGAGAAGACCCTGAGATTATTGGTGTTCTTTTTTAAAAGTCTTCTTCTTCATCAGCTAATGCTGATTTTCTTCCCCTCAGCATCAAAGAACAATTGCTAACTACATGTCTTTCTTGCAGCAATTTCAAAGCATTGTTGCATAGCATGATTCAGGCATGCACACATGGTAGAAATAGATAGAATTAAAGATAATGTTGTTTATCCAGTTAAACTACTGGTTCCTTTTCCTTTGACTGGTTTTTAATATACTGGTCACACATTGTCTCTAAACCTGCCATGCAGCCCTCCTTCTCATCATCATGCTCAAGCTGCTGAGCCTTTTCTTTTCTTCTGTTAAGCCCCTCACTAAATTCTATTTTTTCTTGTACTATAAGGAGATGTCCTGAGCCTTGGTTCCTATCTGCAAGAAAGTAAAGCTGATGTGAAGCAGAAATAAGATAAGATAAAATAAGATAAGATAAGATAAGATAAAATAAAATAAAATAAAATAAAATAAAATAAAATAAAATAAAATAAAATAAAATAAAATAAAATAAAATAAAATAAAATAAAATAAAATAAAATAAAATAAAATAAAATAAAATAAAATAAAATAACCCTGTAGACTGGAGAGGAGGGTAGAATCCAGCCTTCCCAGAATCTCTCTGCTTCTTAGTGCTCTTGACACTCCATTGTATGTTCTATTCCTACTCAAACTTAGTAAAGCTTGCTTATCTTGTCCCTTTCCATTACAAACAGCTGTTTTTCACTGTGGCAGCCTCTTCCTGATGCTCTTGTGCAGTGTTTCCAACTTCCCCTTCCTCCCTTTCTGTGATTACCTCAAATCCACTCTGCTGCAGTAACTAAGTCCATAGGAGACCTCAGCCTTGATGTTACTCATAGCAAAGGTGGACACTGTCCTGCAGTGCAGCTGCCCATTGTCAGAGCTAAAGATCCTGAGTTATAGAGCTCCCTGGGAGCATATGGTGGTACCAGTATTCCCACATCAAGTAAGATCCAGGTTAGCTATTGGAAGGTTTCCTTGGCAGTTAGGCTCTGCTCTTGTGTCACTATCCTAGGCTGTCTTGAGAGATAGTCCTCCCACACAGTTGCCTTCAAGAACAGCACAGGCCTAGAAATCATCCCTTCAGTCAGAGACGTGACATAGTTGACCTCTCCAGGGTATTTCTACACCTATTTCACACAGATTCTCTTCTTATTGACAGTTACCCCTTCCTTTATTACAGAACTTTCCCACACTGAAGCCATAAAGTCGACCACAGCATCTTGGAGGTTTTGTCTGCAGTTTGGTCATCCCCTTTCTTCTGCTGCTTCTCCATCAGGGAAGGTGAAAAGCAGAAGAGGACTCGCAGACACTTGAATTTTGCAGGACTGGTGAAGGTCAATTGCATGTTTCTAGGTAACTTCTCAGGCAGATGCTCATGAGTTCAGCAGTGGTGTGACTGTGTGTGTGTGTGTGTGTGTGTGTGTGTGTCTGCAAATCACCCAGATACTCCCTGAGGGCTTTCAGGGGACCAATGCTAAACATTTCAGAAGTCAGATCTCCTGCAAGATTCCTAAGCTGAGATGTCCAAAGCAACATACTTCAAATTTCTTCTCTGGTTTCAGACTCATGACTTTATGTTTTCCCGCTTTCAGACTTCAGCTGGGGAAATACTGAGGTTAACGTACGAGAACACTGATCACAAATGTTACATGAATCCAAGTGATTGATGGCATTTCAGCCATTGACTATCATAGCTTGTGTTAATCTACAGATGTTGTATTAACTCTGAGCCATTTCCCAGTTCTCATTAGCAATATGCTTTGATGGGGAAGAAGGTGTTAGCTGTATTTTCCCTTCAGTGAGCTGTTTAATCATTGGAGCTCACTAGCAGTGGGATTTGGGGGACTTACGTGATCACAAAGTGAATTAAGAGTAAAACAATACTCTCCCTCTGGCTTCTCTGGGACAGCGCACAGGGGAGGAAATGGGTTCAGAGCTGCTCTCTTTCCCCATTTAAGCAGCACTGGTGTGCTCCAGTGAGGACTAAGCAGGAAGCTGCTGCCTCCTTAGTTAAGATCTTGCTGGTTTTTGGGAGCACACTCAGACCAGCTCTCCTGCAGATCAGCACATGCCAGTGAACTTGTTGTAGCATGTTTAGCTGCACGTTCTTGTTGGCTTACTGAGGTCTGATCCAAAGCTTACTGCAGATACAGGGAAGATTAATGTACTTCTTCAGTGGTCTTTGGTCTTCTCTCTGGAGGCAAAAATACAACTGTGATAGATACATGGGTGAGTGAACCCTACATTACCACCACATTTCACTCTGAGGAGATGGCAAAAGGGATTCTGCAGCCCAACCTTGTGCATCCCAGAGCAGTAAAAGCAACATGAATCCTACTTAATAAGTAATTCAAAAGCACTTTCTGGTTTGTGAATCATCTTCATCCCAGATTTTCTGAGACTCTTGGGTAATGAGACAAGAACAGTGCACCTTCTGTAGTCATTTCTACCTGCTCACTGGGCTACCAGGCTGCTCTGGCCCTAATTTTGAGCTGTTCTTCTAAACTACTTTCTGCCACTAAGCAATTCTCATCTAGAGATCTCAGACATGAAGTAATCCTCCCAGCTTTTCTATTAAAAAAAGCTAACTACCATTAAACCTGTTTTACAGGTGGGTAGGCTGAGCTCCAGTCTGCCTGAGATCACAAAGTGTTATTTAGGACCAAACTGGCTGGGCTGACACATTCCTGCAGCAGGGATGACCGCTTTTCTTAGAGGAAAAGAGTGCCCAGGCAGAGGGAGGGCTGGCCTCTGTTTATGTGCGTGCTTTGCACATGACTGTGAAGCACATAAGCCTCACTGGCTGCGTGGCTGGAATCCAGGTGTCCCTCAGATGAAGATGCAAGTGTAGGGTAAACTAAAATGCCGTGCTCGGCTCTTTGTGCTGAGCCATCCGGCAGGTGGGAATGCACAACTCTGCCTGATTGCTTATGCCTGAGTCACCTCCTTCAGCATTTGCCATTGCCTAGCATGTTAGCATGCTGCCTGCTGGATAATAAATGACTTCATCTGCTGCAGCAGTGAGGATACTATTAAAAATTAACCCTGGGAAATGGTCCTGCATATTTTTTTCAGTCAGAGCAGACAAGGGGGAAGAAGAGATGAATGCTGTTGAAATGGGATTTGCAGAAAAGGCAAGTGGTAAGTTTTTAGTAATGGGGATGGTTCAGGCTTCAGTTTAATCACTGCAGATGTTGGCAATCGATGATCAAAATTCAGAGGGCTTAAGGCACTTGATAAAGTTAAAAGCAGTGCAGGTAGAAAAGACTCAATAGGCATATTGCAGAGGAGGTTAAAGAATGGGATAAATGGAGATTACTGTGCTGACATGTAATTTATGACCTGTTTGCAAAAATAAATGAATTTATCACGTGGATGTTATTACCCCTTGTAAGGAATGATGCCTGTAGATGAAACACTCTCCAGTTTTGGTTTATGTATTGCACACTTTTCTCATAGTGTCACACTTAAACCACACCCTACCTATAGCAGCATGCAGAGTATATTTACAGAAGTGAAGGATTTGTATTAAATATCTCAGGAAACAGAGCAACTGGCAGACAGACATTTCATTTTCTTGGCTTCTCTTGCCTCCAGCACCCACACAGTATCCATCAAATTGTCTGGAGTCAAATCCTCACAGGCTGCATTTGAAGCTTGGGCAAGGAGCCAGCCCGGTTTAGAGAGCAAAGTCCTGTCTGTCCACACACACTTAGCACTGTCTGTGTGCTGCAGTCTGGAGCAGGGGAGCTCAGCCTTAGGCTCAACAAAAAATACCCCTTTAACTCCCTTTGAATTGTTCCAGGAAAGGGATTTGGTCTGAAGCCTGCAGACGCATGTATTAATGGTTCCATTGTTGACACAAAAATTGCACCTTGTTCTGAGACGTCATTCAGCTGGCTTTGGTACAGCAGCAAGCAGCACGTCCCATGCTGAGCCCATCCTGAGGGATGGCCCAGCTCCTTGAGCTGCTCCATTCGTGGATGGTTGGTACCTATAGATGGTCTGGAGGGCAACACAGGCTGTAATGCCAGGTGCACTGACTGTGCAAGCAGATCTGCCCTCTGTCTGGCATGCTTTCTTCCAGAAGCATATTGTGGCTGCTGATTTCACAAATGTACTGTGATATGACAGCACCTATCCAAGGGCCAAGCTGAGGTCTGCATGTTTGTCCTGAGTCACCTGCTCATCTCCACGTGGCCGAGGTATTTTAAAATGTTGGGCTTAAGCAACATTTCCTGCTGCAAAATGGAAAAATGATATAAAGTTTCTTCATAAAAAGTGTTACAAATTTACTGGATGAAAAGTACTAGGATAATGTCCAAACTGGAGACAATTCTTACTCTAAGATCTTTCTTTACCTGTGATATTTACGGAACCATGGTTGAAATATTCCTCAGGCTAATTCCTGCATTTTATTTATTGTCTCTCCTTTCTCTCTCCATCCAGACAGAGCTTTGTCGTTAGCCCTAGTCCCTGGTACCTACATACAGCTCTTTCTGCAGCCAAGCATGCTGCTGGAACAAGGACTTTATTTTCATGATTGCTGACCAAGAGTTATCACAACAGTTGTCACCAACACAACACCAATTTATAAACATGGTCTTGGTGGAGGTTTTGGAAAGCCCAATAGCTTAGAGTTAGTTTGGCACCTCTTTACGGAGTAGATGGTGCATGTTGAAATCACTTCCTTTAACTTCAATAGATTTGACATCACACCCATGGTGGGGTTATTTATTTCCCTCCCCTTCACCCCCACACCCCTTCCCCGTCTTTATATTTCACTCTCCAGGTTGCCAAGGGCTGTGTGTGTTGCTTATGTGTTGTGAGGAGAGTATCTCAAAGAAGAAAGAAGTGACCTGTGCAAACAGCTGTAGATGTACGTCCAGCAGCCCAATTCTCTACAAAAGAAAATTGTGATCTACGCCTGGAAAATGTGCTTCCACAAGCCAGGAGCTAACCAGTAAACAGTGAATATATAGTTGCATCCTAGACACTTGTGCTTCCACGGGCTTTTAAGGAGAATGAGAAGGAAATGCCTTTTTAACACCAGCTCAACTTGCAACTTGATCTGCTACTGCAGGGAGGAATCAATGGACAGCTTAGATATTAGCCAGCTGCCAGTGTTTGGTACACAAGGTTACTTGGAATGGTCTTGGAATGGGTTAGTACATCCACAGCATGGCATAGCAAGTGACCATTGTAGGACAGGATAGGGGAAGCTTTTGTGTATTCCAAGGAAGACAGGTTCTGTCAGTGGTGATGTCAGGAGTTGCTGGGGAGATACACATTTCACTTTGTCAAAAATCCATCTCCATTTCTAGCAGAGGGAAAGTCTCGGAATGAAAGGTCTTTGCTCAGACTGTGAAGGAAGTGAATGAAGATGTCACTACAGGAGCTTCTTCTGAAGGGATTTGCTCAGCCATATGCCCACCACCCAGCTCAGGCACTAGGAGCTTCTGTTCAACCAATATAAGTGTTAACCCAAGGTATCTTTTAAAGTGTTTCAAGAAAAGAGGATGAAGTGCTCAGCCAAAAGCACAGACATTCAGGCCACAGAGCAGTGATAACGTGCAGGTTTTCATGGTCAAGGAGTTGGCCTACAAACATGGAGTCCCCTGTGGAAGACAACATGCCATGTTCACTGTCATGTACTGTCACCAGACAGTGGGGCTGCTGACAGATCCAGCCTTAAAAACTGTCGAGCAAGGCTTTTGAGGTAGGTGTGAGATTTCTGTGGACTGGGATGTGTTTTATGGTTTTCAATACTTGGAAACACTACCTGAGCATCTGTCTGGGTCTCAGCCAACATACTGAGTTAGATAATGAAGCTGAATTTTTACTGAAACTTCTAGACAGTGCATAAAACATACAGAAGCATACCAATAATACTATTTTTTCACCACTAATCTAACTTAGCTGCTGGAATGTAAGTACACAGTCCTTTTTCTAAGCACATATTATGCAGAAGCAGAGCCAAGGCTGTAAAGAGAGTGCCTGGAAATCAGGTCTCTCCTGTCATTTTGGGGACAGGGAAACATTCTTCATTCCCTATGAAGATGGGATTCCTTCTAGTAGTCTAGAGGAAGTTATACATGGCAATGACCCAAATATAGATTAATCCCAAGGCTTTTCAAAGAGGCTATCCATGGAAAAGGCAACCGGAGCTGCTTAAATTATAGGGAAAATCCAAGTATGGTATGGTGGTGTCTTGCAACTCAACTCCCAGCTGCCTGCAGCAGAAACAGAGGTGTAAAGTCAAGAGTTCCTTTGACAGAGCAGAGAGGACCATTTTTGCCTTTGCTCAGTTCTTTCACTGATGCTGAGCCAGAAGGAAGCACAAGTCACCTCGTAGAGATGAAACAACCCTGGGGATGGGCAAGTCACTTGAGGCAGAAGGAAGACTTTGGCTTTTAGAATGTTAGGACAAAGAGCCGTGTCTTCCAGGCTACAGGTGCTGGCCTTAGGATTACATGGGCGAGCACAGGGATGGATGCACTGTGCTTGTTCCAGCCTGCAGAACTGCCTGGCCCCATTTATCTACCTGCTGATCTCCTCCTTCCACATCTGCAGACTGCACTCCAGCCACCCTATTTCCTGTCCTGCAGGACAGGGATTTGTTGAGGACTTTTGCTGTTGTCTGCAGCATGGCTCACAATGGTGCTGTTGCTGTGACGGCTGAAAGCCCCGGTGCACATGAGTTGCATTCAGAGTAAGCTTGGAGCTGTGCAAAGTGCATGCAAACTGGTGCTTTGACCTGATTAAATTTTTTTAAAGCCACAATTTCAGCACTGCTTCACATCATATGTTGTCACAGTGATGGGAAGTGAAAATAACAACCCCTTTCTGATTTGCTAACATTTTATGGTGGCTTTGCATTGGCACAAAAAGTAAGTACACATTGGAAAGCTGCTGTTTTCCCTCTCTGAAGACAACTAGATGAATTTCCCAGCTAAATCCTGCTTGGAAAAACAAACCTAAAAAGCGCAGTGAGGCCACAGGTTCCTTTACACTGCAGCAAGCGATGAAAAAGAACAAATGTTGCTCCTGAAAAGCTATGGAGAAAAAGTCACTGACTGTAACTCCTTTCCAACATCAATTCATTTTCCCCTTAGTTTAATGCTGAAAACAAAGTTGTAACTCAATCATTGACCATGGAATTCATCCCAGAAGAAAAGCAAGGACCACCAACAATGTGGTCCAGGTGTGGATTATAAATATCATCAGGAAGAGACATTCTGTGTCCCAGGGGCATTAATCCTGCAGCCAGTGCTCTTCCTTTTATATTTTGATTTTAAGCCTGCCAGTTTTAAGGCTTCTCAGCAAGACTCTCTCTTGCAGAGGATTCCTACCACAACAAACACAGTAATACACCTAAACTGAATGAAGCCTATGGTGGTACTACACTTGCAACAACACTGGGTTTTGTACCTACCAATTCTTCGGTAAAAATTACCATCTGGCAGCTGCAGAGAAGCTTTGGACTTGTCCCATACCATGGGACAGGATACCATACACTGGAAAAGCATATGTGGGCAGCCAGCATCCTTGAGCTTTCCAAAACCAGGAAATAGTTTGACCCAAAAGAAACTGGGAAAGGTAGAGGGTCTTGAAGAGAGGCACTAAACAATAATAATTTATAGATAGGCATTTCAAGTTACCATTGATTCATCTTAAGCCAGGAATTATATAAACAAGGGAGCATAAGCATACTTTTCTGGCTCTCAGTATTTTTTTTTTTTTTTTCAGATAAGAAGGTTTTGTTTCTTTTTTCCTGTAAAAATGTAAAGGGAGAAAAATATTACATTTACTAATTTATTTATTTACAACTTTTCATTATAATTAAGGTAGAAATAGGAAATAATAATTCCTTCTGGAATTGGGCAGTCCTGGCTCAGTGGCTCAAATATTAATACAGTGCCCTATCTCACCTTTGCTACCCCATGTCTTTCATCCCAATCAATCATCTTGACTGCACAGTAATGCAACTGCTTCTGAGTAGAATCTCTTGGTCATGAGCCAGAATCTGCTTTTCTAAAGCAGTAGTACAAAGGATGGAAAGATCCCTCTGATGTGGCATTTACACTGGGTATTGCTTGAAAGTAAGTGGGATTGTGCCAGAGTTCTTCCCTCATAGCAGAGCTGAGTCAGGGTTTAAGCTAAGGAGATATCCCAACACAACTGAAGCCTGTCTTAAGCTTACCTTTTCCCTAAGAGACCCTGCACCATGACAAAGTACCATTTGCTGGTTTGATTGCCTTCTAGTACCCCAAAAATTTACCAAGCCAAGAAGGGTGTTCACTTTCTTGAGCGAGCGTGCAGCAGTGAGAGGAGACAGGTTCTGTCACTCAGCACTGACTCCGGACCTCAAAAGTGTGTGGTCACCTTCAAAGGCCACACACAGTTTCTGTGTGACTTTGGTGACATCAGTAGTTTGGTTCCCTTGTTTACAGAAGCAAGGGCAGCATTAAACTATGAATTCCCATCTTTCAGTGTGAGTTAAAATACTCTATAAAAACTGGTATCACAAGTTTTTCCAGGTCTAGTTCAGTTTGAAAAGATACAGCTTTGTACAAAATGCCAAATGTTTCCTGACGAAGCTTTCCTTTCTGATTGCAGTTTATGAATTCACATGAGCCTGTAAAAAGGAGCAAAAACAAATGCCCAGATTCATTGAATCGGAGATGTTTTATTAATTGGATTCTCTTATTGCCCTTTCTATTCATGCCAGGTGCAGCGACAGAAAAATATATTCAATTCACAGACTTCTGCCATTCCCCGGATCTTTGGATCAGTTGTTTTTCCCTCTCAGCCTCATTCATTGCTTCTTCTGGGATGAACTTCTAAACACCTGCTGTGGTTGAAACTGTTCTTACATCATCTCCTGTACACAGTGACTTTAATCACATGAAATCATGAGGTTAGTGCCATAGTTGAGACTTCAAAGCTGTTTCTGCAGACCTGAGCTGATTTTTTTTTTGAAAATGCTATGGTAGCTGCTGGTTCTTAACCAACAGAAGAATTAGAAGAATTACCAAAGATGTCAGTATTCTGCTTAACATGCAATACAAGAAGATGGGAAAATTTTCTAGCAGAACTGCTGTCTGGGTGGGGGTGGCAGTACCGTAGGATGAGTTCTCCACTTAATCTCAAGTTAGTTTTGAATTTTGTCTTTTTTGTATAAAATGAAGATGAATATCCTTGTTCTGTATCACCTACTTGAACTAGATGACCTTTAAAAGGTCCATTCCAACTCAAACTATTATATGATTCTGTGATTCTATGAAATTGTTAGTTGTGCTATAAAAGGGATTCTCACAAGAAAAAAGGTGATTACAGGGCTTACTAATGAGAGTAAGAGATCAGGCTGCAAGGGGAGCTATCTTCAGAGAGACACTCTGAACAATCTTTCAGAAGGGGGGAAACACCAAGAAATATCTAAATGACTCTGATGGGTTATGTGCAATAGCAGAAAACTTTCCTCTGACCAGAAAGCCCCCTCTGGTTCTGTGTTTCTGAGTTGTAGGACAAAGAATTCTTAAGTTTTAATTCTGCTAGTAGCAACAGTGGTTATCTATTGATCGATAATACTAATTATAGACTGGATTGATTTGATGTTGCTTATGACTGAATAAAACCAGAAGAACAGATGAAATACCTTCTTGTAAAATAAGACTCACAAAGAAGAAGCACGTTTATCTTTGCTTGGCTTTCAGAGGAGGCTTCACCCAATTCCTGGTCATTTGGGTAGCACCAATGGAATTCATCCAGAGTAATACATTTTGTAGAGCTCCTGTAAAGGTGAGATCAGAATCAGGTCCACTGTCTCCAGGTAGGTCCAAGGTATGCTAATTGTCAATATTAAGATTCTAAAACTTTCTTGGATAAACTGTAATATAACTTTTCTTACCTATAAAGCTTCATGAATGTTCAGCATGGTTTCTGGGTAGAGATCACATCAGCTCCACAGTTATTAATTTACAGATTTCTCACTAACCTTAGCTCAGCTCTGGGAATGGTGCCAGCACAATTACGGTAACTCTAAATAAAGAGACGTAAAGTTTCTGTATCTACCCTGGAATTGTGCCAGAATTTTCTCTTCTTCAGTGATGGAAAGATGCATTTCTTCAGTTGGTTTCAAATCACTCAGACTGTGTTGGTCATATGTAGATTATTTCCAGCAAAACAAGGAAAAGAAGAAAGCTACCATGCAGATGTGTGCATACACAGTACATGTATAGTACATACACAGTCCTCAGATAATCCTTGGGAAGTGTGTCCCAAGAAGGTGTATGTTGGGAAACTGAGTCAAGGTGATTTGAGCTAGTTACCCAGAAAAAAAGTGGCAGAATTGGGAATAAAATTCCAGGGGCAGTTGCTTGATTCAGTATTGTTTTTACTGAATCACACTACCTTCCTGGAGCAAGTCAAGGCCCATTGCCTTCCTTCCTGTGAAGATGGGCAGCTGGATTGCAATGACACCAGGTGGAGCTGAATGTGCTCATCACCTTGGAAAATCAGGCCCCTGGTGATTCTCTGTGATGTTAATTGACCGTCACGCCCTGCAAGAGGGGAGTCAACACATTTCCTGACCTATGGTCTAAGTGTTTTCCAAACCCTAGAGTAAACTGAATGTAGTTATAGAGGAAATGCTGATGCAATCCACCAGCAGCTGCTGCTCTCCCACATCCTCACAAAGAAGGTGTGAGGGGGTGAGTCGAATGAAATAGAAACCCCAGACTCTTCATGGCAGGCAGGACTCCGTGCCTTCCCTCCAGACTTCTTGCCTTCCTGCCTCTGAGAGAAACACTGCTAAGGGCTGCTCCCAAGAAAACCCTGGAGACCATTCTGAATGTAAACTTCTGGAAAAGCTTTCCATGTGGGACCACTGAGTCATATCTTCCTACGTGACTGATTTATGAAACCTAAATTTCCACATTTCGATATAGGAATCTTCTAAGTGTGAGTGAGGATGGCAAGAGCTGCACAAAAGTTGCACTCTTGCACTGAGATGTCTGATGATGTCACCAGCAATAGTTGAACCACATCTCTTGGATCCAGATTATGATAAATTTCATTCTTAGGATCCTAATCTTTTGACAACTCTGGTTTGGAAATTTAATCTTTTAATCTGTTTTGTTTTCAGTTGGTTGTTTTGGGGTTTGTTTGTTTGTTTTGTTTGGGTGTTTTTCTTTGTTTTTTTTTTAAAAATGCAAAATTATTTGGTGAAACCAGCCTTGTTATCTGCCACAAGCTGCATTTTTTGATCTTTAACATACTGCAGGCGTGTGGGATCACCTTCGTGTATGATGATGTCATTAGTTTTTCATCTGCCAGCAAAGGTTTTGGATGTTGTGTGGGATAGAGATGTGCCCAGCCCCTCCTTCAGCCGGTGATCATCTGCCTCCCAAATCCCACACAGCGCCCTGCTGCCTTTCCCGTCCCGTTCCTGTCCTCAGCGCCGTGCCCTCCCCTGCTCCCGCTCTTTGCCTCGCCACTTTTCCCACTGCAAGCACGCCCCTCTGTTATTCCCAGCCGGGAACCCTTCCTGCCTGGGGGGCTCCCCGGACGCTCCTGCTCCCGGTGCGGGCAGCGGGCGGGGCGCTGCCATGGCACGGACGGACGGACGGACGGACGGACAGACGGGGGCCGGGCCCGGGCGCCGCTCCAGGTGCCGAGGCCGCGGCGTTGCCGGGCGACGGGCGGCCGCTGTCGCTCCCGGCCCGCCGCTCTCCCTTTCTCCCCGCGGCCTCGGCACGGCCCGCAGGTAGGAACCGGCCCGGGGCAGAGAGGGAGGCAGCGCTGGGAGCCCGGAGGTGTCTGTGTGTGAGGGGGGGGAGGGGGGCTGCGTTCCCCTCCTTTCCCAGGGCTTGTGCCCTAAGGCCCCGGGTTTAGGGGGCGTTGAGGGAAGGCCGTTGTGGGGACCCGTGTGGGACTCACGGCCTGGAGCGGGACACACGGACTGGGACAATGTGGGACACAGTGCCTGATGTGGGACACCTCCAGTGCTTCCCGGAGCTTGAAGACCCCACAGTGCATGGCTGTGGCAACCCAGCCTATGTGCAGGTGTAACACACACACCTGAGGCCTGAGACTGAAAGTCTCCGTTTATGCTCTGGTAGATGTTACAGAGTGTTTCAAACTTAGGTTTTGGTGGAGCTCTGAGGAGAACAAAGTTGATGGATAAATAATCCTGTGCTGGTGGAAGTTGTAGAAGTATCCCCAGGTATTTCACACCGAGAGAACTCCTCCACGGTGCCTCCTCAGGTTCCCTTGAAGGGCTGAAGAGAGGTGCCAAACTCATGCAGAAAGGGCTCAGATGTGTCCCTGTCTTGCTCATCAGCCCTCTGTCGATGGAAAATGGTTTCTGTCAGCAAGAAAATCACTTTACCCCCTCATAGGTTTTAGCAGTCAGTAATTAGTTAATTGGATACCTTCAGCTCTCTGTTTGTCTTGTCTGTGAGGCCTGTGCTATCCTGGCTCTGCATCTGTCTTCTATAGCTATTGATTCCTGATATAAATGTTCCTGCTCACCTATTATTTTCCATTTTGACTATTTTTACATGGCAGTGTTTTCTGACAACTGACACAGTGAAAGCATGCTAAATATTGACATTAACCTTTTATGCCGTGCTACCCCAATGGTGATGTTTTCTCTAACACAGAATCAGCTTATTCCTTACCAGAAAATCAGTGTTCTTTTTGTTCAGTAAGAAACTACTTTTTCCCCTACTATGTAAATTCGTCTCTATCAAGTCCTTCACCTTCTCACGGTCTCTTTGGGAACCCTCATGAGTTACACTTTCATTAAGCTCTTCTAGGTTCTACTGCTTCATGTCCTGTTCCACTTTTAAGCCCTATTGAACCTGGACTTGTGCTGCTCAAATGAATAAAGTACTTCTCTTTATTAATTGCTAAGTGCTCAGATTCCCTTGGGTTTATTTTGTTGTTTGTTTTTTTTTGTTCTCTTGAAGATTGTGTTCTTACTGTTGTTTTAGCAGGACATGGAACAATTAAATAACACTATGAGCACCTGTCAGACAAAATAAACGAAGATAAACAGCTGTGACTTCTAAATTAAAATCTCTGTAGGAGAGGAATGGGAAATGATGCAGAACAGCAGTGGCATTGGAAGAAAAGGTAAAATTATTTCAAATGTACAAATTACTGAAACCGTTTCACAACTTTTTTTAATTACTCTCCCATTCGATAGTATTATTTTTCTTCATGTTATTTTTACTGGTTTCAATTTGCCTAAAATCTTGGACTAAAGGTACAGTGTTCAGGCATGTCAGATTGGAGTGTTGTTAGCATTAACAGGTTTTGTTGTGGACTTTGTGGTGACTTTTTTTTCCTGGACTTTGTGCTCTCTCTCTTGGCTTTAACAGTGAGAATGACAGTGCTCCTGTAGGTCTGAGCTCTCAAGGGATTGGTATATGGATACATCTACCTGTGGGCAGCTCGATTTGTTAGTTGTACATTTCTGTCAGTAAAAGAACAGGCTCTGCCCATAGTCTGTTCTTACACAATTCAAGGGACCTGATCCTACATAAAGCAGGATGCAGATTCCTTGTGAGACCAGATGCAAGTTCAGCACTGGACTGGACTGATATTATTGATGATCATGCAAGTGCTTTTCTAACTGAAGTTCCTTAGGGGACACAGTTAAAGAAATCACATTTATTCTCAGTGTTTGAAGTAGTATAAAAGTGCTGCAAAATAGTAGTGTTATGTAGCATATCATGAATTTGGATTGCTATGTTTGTCACTAATGGGAATGAATTAATATTTATTTGTGAGGGATTATGAAGAGGTTATTTCTTTTAATTGGAAAATTAATGAGATTTTCACAGAAATTAATGATATTATTATTAATTGTTAATATCTGCATAATTTTAGTTTACTATTATAATGGTTTGTGTTTTTATACCTTCCATGGAGTCACATGTGGGCTTGAAAACAAATTGGAAATAAAACCTGTTTTATATCAGTAGGGTCACAAGTACTTGCTACAATACAAATCAGAAGACCAGATTTGCCATGGCAGATGCATTAAATACTAGCATGCCTGTATTAAAAGGAAAGGATTGTGGACTCTGGCTACTTCAAAGAAACATCATCTGATATTAAGAAATAGAAATTAGAAAGCACGTGTTTCTTTGACTACAGTTTCTCACATATGGAAGCAGTATTCAAAGTATAGCAAGCTGGCTGTTTATCTTGAATATTTTACATCTTTAGTTTAAAATTATTTTTTAGAATGGAGTTGTAAAACTACCTTGTTTTCTTTTTTTTTTCTCTTTTTTTTTTTTCAGTGTTCCTAACATATGTGGTCATAGGGCATGGCTTTGCTCTATTTTAATGGTGTATCTACCCAAGTTCAAAGTGGGGAAAAGAAACGTCTATAGAATGAAGATGCTTAAGTAAATTATTGATACTTGGGAAACAGCATTCAGCCATTGTGTTTGTTAACTGAAAACAAAATCTTGCTGCTGGTCAAACAGACAAAGTGTTAAAACTTCTGAGAATAGGGGTTGAAAACAGTGGAGGTTCATGTACTGTCTCTATGGCCATATCTTGAATTTTGTGTGCAAATGTGATCATCCTGGAGAGTAAATGGCAGAACTGAAATTCTTTATATGAAATGCTTCAGAGAGCAGAGGAGGTGAAATGAGATGATGCAAAAGAAAGCTATAATTTAATGAATGGCATGGACAGTTGGATGTATTCTCCATATTTCTAACTGCTGTTGACCTAATTTCTAATTTTAGCCTCCAAGCAACGTATGCCTGTCTTCCCCAATTTAAATAAATACAATGCAAAAATGGACTTTCTCAGTTTCTAAAACTAAACTAAAATTCTAAAATGTCCTGAGACATGACAAACAATTGTTTCCCTGTACACCTCTCCAGCTGTTGAGCACAAGTCACCTGTTGGACTGGGAAGTTACTGCCAGAAATTACAGCAGCATGCCAGGGAAAGGATCACTTTGGACTATCTCTGCTTCTGATAGTGTTTTTAAAGGATCTCTTTCTGACTACGGTGGTTGCCTTGGCCCAGCAGGACAGTTATAATGCCACCTCATCAGCAGCCCAGACTGATTTCCCAGGGTTCCTTTTCACTGTGAGTCTTCTGCCCTTGATAAAACTTTGGCAATGTGTGTTACTAAATAAGCTTCTGTGGCATCACCCGCTGTATAGTGTTTTTCTACAAGTTCATCTAGAATCTATCTCTTTTTATACAATCTGTCCCACGTGAGCAACACTCTGGAAATCAGAAACTTCCCAGTGGTTCTTAAAATGGCTTTGCAGGCCAGGAAGCAATCTCTTGCTTCAAATAGCTTAATTACCAAATGAAATGGACTGAAAATTGTTTGAGGACAACCTAGTATGTTGAAACTCAGAAATGCCATATATGATGCATTTTCATCCTGCATAGAAGTTTGTATTTAAAAAGGCTCATAAATGCAGTGCAATTGTAGCTGGGGGAAAAAAAAAGGTCAGTTTTTGTTGTCTTTTTCTTAGCTGGAATCTGGAAATTCTTCTAAATGGTAGATACTTAAAACTGCTATGAAGAGTAGAGTTTTTCTTCTCTGCATCTTTGGACTGTCACTCAGTTCTGAGTCCATGGGTTAGAATATATTTGTCCATCTTGAAAAGATACTTATTCTGCAAAACCTTGCTTTGCTTCTGTTCTTCTTTAGTATGTCTAATAACATGCCTAGCATCTGAATTTTTAAGTAATTGCTGAATTATACCTTTTAAATGCAGGGAAGGTAAATACATCTTCCAGTGGCATCTACATTTAAGGCAGGATCTGTGTGTGTGACAAGCACAGATATGTTGATTCCTGTGTACCTTTTCATTAGCTGTCCATGATAAGACCCCTACATAAGGACAAGAGCATTTTAACTAGACTAGCCTAATTTCTCCCTTAATTAACATCTGGACACTGTTGGAAAAAAGCTTGTGGCCATGAAGGGCCAAATGTGGTTTCCTGATCCCTGGCTACCTTGATAAAATGGTGAGGGATTTACTGTTATCAAGTGCACTGAAAAAAATTAAGTGCATTTGGCAAGCCTCTGAGAGTGAAGGTGTTGGTACCTTGGAGCTCTGTTTTTCCATAACCCCTGTTGTTCACCAGCTATCCCCAAATCCTGCTCTCTGCTTTGCTCTTCTAGAGCTCATTGACAGATAGAAGGGTGTCTCAAGAAATTTTCTTATGGCAGGAAGTTTACCTATATAAGAAGAAAACCCCTCAATATGTAGCATCTTGGAGTTTCATCTAAGGATTTAGATAATCCGTACTCATCCATAGCCACTGTCTGGAGACTTGCAGTACAGATAGGATCAGTGAACATTTGTAGCCAGACCGAAATTACCACTGACCACCTTCCACTACAGGACTCTAAAACAAATTCATTTGACTTCAGTTTACTTTTCCTTGGACATTTAATAGAACATATAATAGAGAGTGACTTGCTTTTATATCTTGCTGTGAGGATGTTTTGTTGAAGAATACACTTAGAGCAGCTGGGTGTGCAGCTGCAGTGGGAGCTGCAGGTTGTGCCTGGGTGGGAGCCGTGACCTGGTGCTGACCCTTCAGACAGCAAAGAGCACAGGGACCTGAGGCACCGGCCAGGGAACCAGACGCTCGGACACAGCAGGAGCCAAGGGCTCAGCAGAGAGACTCCAGACTATCCCAGGCATGGAAGGCACAAAACCTGGGCATTCCTTTGTCGGGAGTCCTACTGCAGAGACACCAGCTTGAGCAGCTTTTGTGCCACTGCACCACAATTTAATTACTTAGAGAATTCAGACATCTGAGACTTTAAATGTCTCAGATTTAGGGGAAACTCAGGGCTGAGCCAAACCCTGTCTGACTGTGAGTGTGGGGTGTGCAGGGACCAAGAGGGGCACCCATGGGGTCACCAGAGCCATCTGCTGATGGGACTTTGGTCTCAGCAGTGGAAGTCTGGGGTGCTGGGAATGTGACTGACAAAGTGGCTCCTGGATGGTCAGACAGGGAAGTTTCCTTAAATATTTGGCAAGCTAGCTCCAGAATTATGTAATAATGGGACATTGCCAGCTCATATGATAAAACATTTCTCATCACTCTGCTCAGCAGGATCTCAGGGGAAAAGTATTATATATGCAACTGTAATTATGAAATAGTTATTTTGTATGTCTACATCGAATCTGTAGATATATAAAGGAGAAATGGGTGACATTTAAAGGCATTGCCTTTTTATTATTATTGTTAGGGTTATAAAGAATATTAGATATCTTTTATCTCAACTGTGTCTGGGTTTGTAGCATGCATTTTCTTCTCTGGGTTCACTGCTGCTTTGAGTGACAGCACAGTTTGAACACAGCTACATGCATGGGGGTATTACAATGTCCACAAAACTACAAAGAGCTTTCCCTGAGGAATCTGTGGGACATAGATCCCAAGGCTTACCTGCCATGGTTGTGGTAATTGTAGAGCAGGATTTATATTTAATAGCAAAGAACTGTCAGAACACTCTTACAGCTTTTAAAACTGTAAATAAGGAAGGTAAACAATTATATAAATCGGTCCACTTGCTTTATATGCACATTTGGATGTTTGAACCATGGCCTCAAATTGACTGAACAGTTACACAAAAATATCATTGTAAGCATTCGAGTCATTCAGTGTCATGAAAGTCAGTGAATTTTTAATTATATTAAATGGGATGTTGTTATCTTAATATTTCAGCTTTCCCTTAAAAGCTTTTTTGCTTTAGTGAGGCACAGAAGTGGAATATTTATGAATGCTCTTTATAGTGTTTGCATGATCCCTTGATATTAAAGTAGCATTACTGAAGTAGTTATTTTGTTCTGCTTAACAAAACCAGAAGATTACAATCACATTGTTTAGTCATACACACATGTAACAGTAGTTTCCTGATGACATCATAGTAAATTCCAGCTGCCCAAACAGTTATTTTCCAGAAGAGGTTATCTGCAGTGCACTTGTGCAAAATTACACTTAGAAAGGGCACTCATAGTTCCCTTGGGACTTGTAAACCAAACGTTTTGTCAAATCCGTAGTAAATACAGAAATCTTTGTTTTCATTCTCTGTCAGTGGTAACAGTATGTGCACTACTGTAATTTGTGATTCTGAATTAAACAGACAAAAATTATATTATGCGAGACAAGAGAAATTGAAGTCTGCAGTGCAAGCTTCCTGTCATGAAGGGATAGATAGCACAATGGTTCTCAAATGGGTGTTTTTTCTAGAGAATGTTTTGGCTGTTGACCAAAAAATACGGATAAGGACCCAGAGACTGCAGTACCCCCACTGAAATAGTATCCTTCATGTCCAGTGAAGGCAAGAGTAGCCACGGAGCAGGAGAGGATGCTGGTCGAGAAGCTGCCCTGAGGCAGTAGAGATTCCTTCTTGTATGGGATGTTAATATATAGAGGTATATGCCTTTCCTAGAGTGGATTTTGATTAATTACTGCTATTTGGGTTTTTTTGTTTTGTTCTGTTTTTAAATGGTAACTTAATTGCTTGGACAAGCTGTTTAGGTAATGTGAAGGCTGCATTAGAAATTGGCATGCCTAGTCACACAATTCAGAGGTTCTTTCCCAGCCTTAAGAAGCCCTAATGAATATTGAGTCAAACATTTCTGGCAGTTGCTGAATTTGAAATGTGTATTAATATATATTTAATGAAGAATACACAATCTTATCACTGACTCTTCGATAAATCTTGTAGCAGGGAAATAAAATCTTGGAGTCCTACCAGACTGTCGGACCCCAAGAACATCAAATAACTCTGCCAATTTCTTTCTAGCAAATTACAGTATTCTGAGGGGATTTTAAATAACATGTTGTTCCAAGGATCATTTAATTTTAATAATGGTTTTTATTACTGGTATTAATGTATGTTGAAAATGTCCTGCAGTTTTTAATGAACTGTCACAACATGTCTGTGAATTGAATAACTTACCATGATTACATACACTCACTTGGGTAGGGAGAGTGGCAGCAGTGGAGAAGGTTGGCAGATTAACTCTTTGTAGAATTCAAAATCTTCCATCTTATTGCTCTGGTCATTGACTTCTCTTTGCACCTCATGATTATTTGCTTCTAGTTATCCACACAAGTGAGAACCTGCCAAGTTAAGAATTTTGATGTAAATCCTGCAAAAACCAATCTATTGGTTCCCTTCAATCTTTTATTCTTAGTGTTCACATGCAGTATAAAACTCCATTATTTCCCAGCCATTTCCTCTTCCCCTGACACACTCATGTGCTTACTGGTATTGCTGTGCTGTCCCACTGGACTGACTGCAGGTTTGTGCTGGGTGCAGTTAGCTTCCATCCTTGTGTGTCCCACTAAGCACTGTGGGAATGGTTCTGGTCAGCACATGGATCCAACATACATCCAGTGCAACCACCTTCTCTAGGAAGGAAATCTTCAGGTTTACGACTTTTCAGACCTCTTTAGTGACAACAAAAGTCTTTGCAGTCCCTGTAAACTGTCTCACTGGAGCTAGTTTGGGTCAGTGTTGGCTTGTCCTGTGCTTTTGGCAGAGCTGTAGGTTTATCAGATAAACCTGATGAAAATGAGCAGTGTAACTCGTGTCTCTAGGGGGACAAATGTTATGCTAGGCCCCTTTCTTGCTCCTACATAGTGCTGGAGATTTCAGAGGTTCCTGGATTTTATGAAATATTGGCACTTCACCACTCTTAAATTTTTCTACAATCTCATTTTGATCCATGTTCAGGAGGAGATTCATTCTTCTCTGGAGAAAGCTTTGAAGTGATAGAAACATGTAAAAAAATAGTTTTTCTTGCTGACAATAATTCAACTTGATCCCAAACAATTTGTAATGAAAATACTTTTCTCCTCACTAATCCAATGTTACAAGAATTACAAGAGCAGATCAATACCAGGGAGTATAAAACAAAGTATTACTTCAGATATTAAGCCACAAATTGATCTCCTTTTCAAGCCTAAAGTAAGTGCTGTATCAACATGTCTCAAAATTTTGAGGATGTTCTGAAATGTGATGGTGATGGCCCAACAGAGGTTGAACAGTAATTTGTTTTATGTTAACTCTTTGCAGTCTGGATCTACAAAATCCTGTTGTCTCATTTTGCACTCACACGTTACATCAGTTAGTTATCATTAGTTATTAATAGGTCTCTGACTATTGCTCCACTTGGTTCTGATAACATACAAGATTATCTCTGGATAATAACAATCCTTACTTGAATTAGAAAGAACCACCAGTACTTGCACACAATCCAACACAAGTCTTGTGCAACTGGCAAAGGACTCCAGAATTTATGACAAGAATATTCTATCCCAAACCTATTATTGACCAAAATAATTCCTTCTTAGGAAAATAATGACAATGCCAGAAGGTATTCATATCACAGAAGATTCTTTAATTTTCTTAGACAACTGATGACTTTTCCAAATCTATACTGACTAAATCATACTGAACTGTTCTAAAGAAAGTAGAGGAAAAATGTCTGAGAAATTCTAGAATTCTTTAGAAAAAGAAACAGATAATAGAAATTTATGTATTGTAATTTTTTTCTAAAATGCAAGACACAATATTTTTGAGGTCTCTTTTCCCTCCTAATGGGCAGACGTATGAAAGTTGTCCTTACTCTACTACAGGCACACAGAGGTTTTAGAAGCTGCAGATATCACTACTCAATTCACTTTTTGATGGTTCTTTTGTAAGCCGGTAAGAAAGATTGAAAGGAGTTGTGTGACTACAACATTTTTGTTCCTGAACGTGATTTTTGGGCATTGAATATTTCTGTGGCTTAAGTGTAGAATATTTGAGCAGTCAGCTTCTCCTGTAGGAGTGCTTGCCAGGTAGGTGCAGTGACCTGGAAAAAATAGGGTTTGCTTTTTGTGGGTTGCTTCTGCCCTAATGAGTGTGCAGAAGGAGCACTTAGGAATCTGGGGGTTTGGTTCCTCCCTTCCTAGTGCAGGAGATTGTGCAGGGAGAGGTTTGGTGTATCATCAGTTTCTTGTTGCTGTTTTTGTTTGGATAAGGGCTGCTATTTTTTCCTGACCATACAGAGTCTTCTGAATTTCTTTTTCTTGTGCAAATGAAGAATTTTGACTGGACTTGAGTAGTTGGAATCAATCTTTTTGATCCAAACCTCTTTCACCTTCTAACAAGTCACTTCTCTCAAGTAGAGATGACTGGCTGAGCAGTCAGAATTCCTATCTGCCCTAACAGAAGTTACTTCTGTGTTTAACTGTTTATTAGTGTGAGGAGGAAGGAAAGTGGTAATTCTCAGGTCTTGGCCACCACTGATGCTTTGTCAGCCAGTTGTGGTTAGCTTGATCATTTAATTACTTTTCCAGCACTAAGAATAAATATTGCTTTGCAGTGGAGAACAGAACAAAACTGCAGGTGTCCCTTCAGCAGAGAAAGACAGCTTTTCTCTAGTCTAGCCTTTTGTTGTTAGAGCAGTGTTTCCAGCTGTGATACTTCCTTGTTGCCAAGTAGTAGTAAATAGCTGTATAAATCACAGTAATGCTTGCACCATTTGGGTACAGCCGATTGCTTTTTTACTCTAACAGGTGTACATATGCTAACTCTCATATTTCAAAGTTAATTGTCAATATTTCTGTGAAAGTGATATCTTTGGGAATTGAAGAATGACCACATTTGCAGTGCTTCATCTTCAAACTTTGTATTTCATTCCTCACTTGAAACATACACAATTTTATATAAATTGTATTTTTAATTTATTGTCTCCAAGATTGTCTTCAGAACCAGAAGTCAGTAGCCATTGCCTGCCTAACCTAGAGTCAGTAACAGTGGTGGGATGTTTGATTTACAGCAGCAAATACAGACAAGTTCTGTCCGTGCAACCTGCAGGCAGAGCTCGAAATGCTTGGGAGACGTGGTGTTGTGACTTGGTACTGGCACTTGCAGTCTGGAGTCCAGCAGAATTTTGCTGAGTGTTGTTCATGCTTCTCAAGAGGAAATGGGTATGCAGGGAGCCTGTGTGGAGCGGAAGCTCACTGACACTGGAGAAGGATGAGTGGAGTAGTGAGAAGACTGGAAAGGACTAGTGTCCTGAGTTGTTTGTTCTCAGCTTTCTTCTTTGCACAGAGCTATAGGCATGCCCAGCTTCTTGTAGACCTGCAAACAACAGTTTGCTGTAAAAGCTTACACTCAAAGCTGAATGAGATGTGAGACTCAAGTAGCTCTTTAGGGTGAAGAAAAGGAAGAGCACGTGTTACGTAATGGATAGCTTTGGGTTCGTGCTGATTAAAGAAACCTGTATCTCTATAGGCATTTTCTGTCTTGCAGTGGGAGTCAAAATAGATTTTGCTGACAGGAAAATAATAAATACAGGTAGAAAAATCAGACTGCTTGTTATCCTTTTGTTCAAAGCATGTTGAGATGGACCTGAAGTGGAATCCTGACAGAGTTTCTCATCCAGGCTCATTTGAAGACCAGGAGACTGATTTGAATTGGCAACACAATGCAAATCCCAGTCCGCTGATTAAAGATGATGGAGAGCTGCTTATGGATGAGCATCTTTCCCCCAGGAAACTGGTGAGTAGACATCCAACTTTTTAATGAAGTGGAAGAGGCAAGCTGGCATATACAGAGCTGTATTAACCTTCCAACTGCTATTGTACTGATTGTGGATTGTTGCCTCTCTGACATTTAGATTTCTGCGTAAAGTAGATTCTGTCTTATGAAAGTATATCAAATGTTTGTCCTCCTTTTACCTTGTTTCATATCAAAAGTGTTCTCAGCATGAGTGTGGCTGTGTTTATTGCCAGGGTTCTTGAAGCACCATGAAGGAAAGCACAGGTAGCATAATTATAGTCTACACAGATCTCATTAATACCATCTGGAATACCTTGAATCTCAGCATTAGAAAAAGAATTTACATTACTCTTGTTCTAGAAATTGGAAATATAACTTTAAAGCACAATTTTTTTCCAAGTTAGTGAAATCCTCTTTCCTGTAAAGAAACTGTTTAAAATATTCTGGAAATGATAGAAGTACTTTCTATACATTTCAAAGTGGGAGGAATTTCAAAGCATATTTGAAAGCCATGTTCCTTTTAGACTGGGGAAAATTATTTTCATAAACAGCCTGTTGTAAGAGAGTAACATGCTGAAATCTTCATGAAGGAATTCACTTTATGAAATATTTGTGAAAGAGTACTTGATTGCACACTGTATTGCACTTGCTCAGTCCTGGTTAAGGGTGAAATCCTGTGGGATGTGTAGGAGATGACCAAACAACGTCACTTTTCCATGCTAAAGGAAGGGAGAGTTGAGAGCAGATCTTGAGGAGAGAGGCTTTCCGTGCTGCAGACCTACAGAAGAACCTCTCCTCTGCTGGGGAGCATTTGTGAAAGACAGATGGGGCTGCCAAGGCTGTGGTTCAGGTGTCCCGACAGCCAGGGGGGTGATCGCAAGCGTCCATAATCCCCCGTGTATCCACTGCACCAGTGGAGAGACACGAGCTTCTGCAGGGATCATATTCCAGCTGCTGGTTTACACCACTCCCTAGCCACTCCCAAACTACATTCCAGGCACCATTTTGACCATGTGCTGTAGATTAGACAGACCTATTGTTTCCTAATTAGCCAAGTCTTTTAGAGTTTGTAAAATGGTTGGAGATGCAAAAACCTCCTTCTGCAGAGTGGATATTTTAAGCATTCTGGAGAAAAAATGCTGCATGGTTGTATGGTCTATGCCATTAACTTTCCTTTGGCTCATGAGAACCTCCAGCCACTTCTTGGTCTTTTTTTAAAACCTGGCATAGAATTGGACCAGTGTAATGTGTTTGTGACCTACAATAGCCTGTATAAATCTGGAACCTCTCCTTTTAGTCTGTATCATTAGGGCACGAACCAAAGCCCATTAGAGTAACCAAAACAGCTGCCCTCTGACTCAATCAATTCTGAAAGAAGCCCTTAGGAAGTTCTTTCATTGGCATGAATTTCTCTTTCTGAACCTCTGCTGCTTTTAGTTCACAGCAAAAAGTAAGCAGAAAAATATATGTAAGGCAATGTTAGCTACATCCCATGAAGTTACTGTTTATTATTTTGTAACTTTTTTTTTTAAATGCAGATAAGAAGTTAAATAATTGAGTTTTGCGGTTTTTGAGATTGTGGTATTTTAAAATTTGTAAGGAATCTCATTTGAAAGATTCTTTTAAATGAAGTACACTGTCCTGCAAATTTTTCTGGACACAGTTATTTCCTGCCCTGGAACCTGACATTTGTGTTGGCATAGCTGGGATACTTCCTGCTCAGAGGAAAAACTACATAACATTGTCAAGGAAACATTTACAGTGTTTATAGCTTGTTTTAATAACATGCCCCATCTATCTATTCTCTGACCTTTGTGTTGATCAAATGGAAAGCACTGCTGCCATAAATTTACTTCCTCTGGATTTGCAAATGTCCAGAATTTTCAAACATTTAATACAAAACAAGCCTTCACATGTATAATTCTTTGAGGACCCACATGCCATTGACAATCAAAGGGTTTGAAAGTTTGTCTTGCTTAAATCAATACAATTGCAGTATCTTTTTGATTGTCTGATTGTTGTGAATATTTTAGGAGTTATTGATTGTATCCGTTGAAGTGCTCTGAGAAGGAAACTAATAGACTTTTATAATACAAGCTCATTAAAGTAAAATTGTTTTACATTCAAATAAGGGCACGGGCCACACTTCTGTAGTGTTGTGTAGGCAAATTTTTGCACTCCTGATGGATGTTCCTGAGGAAGGTTTCTTTCCCCGAGACACGTACTCAGCTTTACTCCTTGTCCTGTCAATGGTCTTGCACCAGTTTGGTTTGAGTTTGGGGAAGCTGCACAGTCTGGTTGTGCAGACTCTGGATTGGGCACCTTGAACTGCAGCCTGCAGTCTCATTTCTGCCTGCACATTTGACTCATTTTGCCTTTTTTCCAGGGGGATGGCTGTCTATTTTGTAGTGAAACTGCTACCAGTCGGTCTCCATTAACAGTCTGCATTATTAAGAACTCTCTAAAACTTGTGACACTTGTGTTCCTTCACTTTTTTATTCACTTGCTGCATTGTTTTCCTCCAACGAGAGGAAAGTTTGGCCTAGACTGGTTTTGTTTTGTTTTGTTTTTGCCTTTTTGCCTTCTTGGACCATGTAGAACAAAAGACAATTTCTACAAAACCCCTGGATCATTTTCTTCCTCTCCGTTGTGAATCCCCTCACTTAGACTTTATGCTCATTCACCACAGTTTGTAGTTTTCTGTAGCCTTGTTTCAGCATAATGTTCACTTTAAATCCTGTATGGTTCCATATTTCCACTATGTTAACCACATCTTCTGTTTTCTTCTTGGTGCCAGCTCTTTTGCTGCACTATAATGTAACATCTTTTTATATTTGAATGTCCTTCATCCAGGGTACAGTTCAAAAGCTTTTGATACAAGGGTTGGTATCATTAGATGTCATTTTTATTCTTTTGAGTATCAATAGTATCAATATCAATTTTCTGGTGTATTTTTTAATTTTCCTCTATATGAATAGGCATTCTTGCTTTTCCATTTGTATCTGTCCTATTAATATTTTCAGCTCTGTATTTTCCTAATTATTTCCTATTAATATTTTCCTGCTGTGCCCATTCTTATGCATGGTTGTCAGATATTGTAGAATACCAGGGTGAGCAAATTCTCACTTTGTTCTGAAAACTGGCTAACAATGGGCAATTAATTTTAACTCTATTAGGGCTGTGACACAGATTTTTCATTAAATGTAGAGAAACTGAAATTAAGGGTGCCACCTGTCTTTAATCACTTTCATATATTTTTTTCTATCAACCCCCATCCTCTCCCTGCTGTTTGCAAAGGATCTTTTCCTGATTTCCACTAAAAGCATTTCACTTCTCAGAAGAAACTCATTTTACAAGGTCAAATGATCTTCCAGACATTGTCACATTATAAAACCCAATCACGTTTGTGTGTGATCTTTAGAGAAGAAAGGAAGTATTCTCTAATTTTGCTTTTTATTGATCCTGCTCCAACTAATCATGTTTTCCAAACTTAGCAACACATGTTCGGATGTGGTGTTTAGTTTTGTTGCTCAGGAGGTTAGGGTGTATTTCATATGGTATGCACTCATCCTCACGGGAAAAAGAAAATGCTGGAGGGTCCTGGAACAACAGATTGGATTCTTGCTGAAATGGCTCAGTTGTTTCCTTTTTCTTTTGCAGGAAATTTTCCTCACAGTTTTAAGATAAATGGAACTGAGGAAAAAACTGGACATCCAGAAAGTGCAGAACCTTGATAAATTAGGTAGAGTAAGGGAATGGAAGCAACTGAATTTGGATCTGCTGCGTCCTTCATTAGAAATGTATAATAATTTTTTTTTTAAGTTTGAGGGGTCCTCTGGAGTTCTGCCAGTTTGATCTTCTGTTCCAAGCATAGCTAGTTTCAAAGTTAGTTCAGATTGCTCAAGGAAGCAGATAGTAGAAGTAATACTGTGAACTGGAAAAAAAAATAAAAATTACAAAGCCACTTTTAGTTTCAGAGCTTTCCTTCTATAAATTCCTCTCCTAACACTGATACCTCCACAGTAGTGAAGTTGTTATATTAGTGTTCATCCTGCTACTTAGGCATCTGATGTTCTACATTCAAATTTTTGCATCAGGAATCTTTATATTGTGTACCTTATTCCTAGATAGGAAAAGAATTAATGTTGGGGTATAACTTTTTTATATCTCTGTGAGAGAAAGTAAATCCTTAAGACAAATCTAAGCAAAAACTGCTGTAAGAATATCTACTATCCTGTCCACTCCTGGCCTGCCTGTTAATTCAGCACATAGTTGAAGCTGGTTTTTTCCTCCTACAGAAGTGACATGGGCTATTTCCGGGAGATCAGATCTTCCATCTTGTTTCTGGTCCCCTACATGCCTGCTGAAGTTTGCAATAGTTAGACTTGCCAGCAACTTGCCACATCAGATCCTTAACACTAGTTTAAAAAAAGGTGTCACAACTGTGAATCCCCAGCATGAGTCAGTGAGGAGCTGAACTGCAGATAGCAAGACTAGGCAAGGGCATATCCACGTGCATCTGCTGACATGACATGGGGCTTCAGCACAAGAATAAAGGCATCTTTAATGCATCCCCCACTACTTAAATTTCCTATTTACTTCCCTCATCTACACTTCCCATGTAAGCCAAGAAAATCTTTTTGTAGCACCTAGCTAATCTCTTCATCTTAGCTGAGAGAATGTATTTATATGTATAGGCAGAAAGTAGTGAAATACAGCTAAATATTTTAGTTATGGGCATTTGCAGTATTTAGCCATTTTGAAAGGAAATTTGCACATGGGGCCACAGAGAAGTTCTGTTCCCTTTCATTTAATCACTTAAGGCCTATTAATTTGCTAACGTTTTTCTTCTTGGAAGAAATATTTTGTGATGCTTTTAGCAACTTTTTTTTTTCTTTTTTTTTTGGTGAAGGAGCGATTATACTTGAGTTGGGAATTTGAAAAAAAAAAAAAGCAATAAACACATGAATGGACATGAATCTAGAATTTGCATACAGGTGTAGTATTCAAAGAGAGCAAGCTCACCACTCAGGAATTCCTGTCTTAGCCAAATTAATCAGGATCAGCAAAATAAACACACAGCTGGAAATATTTCTCTGACAGCTGTATGCAACTTATTCTTCAGCAACATGCCTACTTTTCTTAGAGTATGTGAAAAATCTAGGGAAGGGAGAAGACATCAGTTGTGTATGCCAATTTTGACTGAGCAGATATTATTTGCCAATTAAGGAATTTACAGATAGCTGCAAGTGAGACTTAAACTGGATTTCCCAGCATCCCCAGGTGACTGCTCTGCCCGTTGGGAAGCTCTGCAAGCACAGAAGTATTTTGCACTTGCAGCTTTTTACAGAATACTTACTGGCTTTCTTGTCAGTCAGAGAGAAGCTTTACAAACCACTGCACAGTTCCCAGTTGGCCAGACATTTGGCCAGACATTTTGCATGGTGGGAATGGTTTGTGAAACACCATGGGCTTGCTTCTTAAAATACTGGCTAAATTATTTACCAATAGCTTCTTCATGAAAAATAATTTTACTCCTGTTTTGAAGAAGGTGAAAAAATGTAAAGTGAACTTTCTTCATCTTTGTTTTACTTACCCTGTATTCAAAGTACCTTCGCAGACTTGTGCAGTGCTTTACCATGGAAAAATGTGTTCTTTCAAATAAACAAATTTACAGTGGAGGGTAAAACTGCTGCTCAGAATCAACCTTTCAGGCCACCTTCCTGAACATGATGTGCCAGAAGGATTTTGATGTTTGATCCTTCAGAAAACAGCTTTGCCTAGCTGATACCTACCTTGCAGGACTGCAGATGGGTGGCAAACAGAGTCCTCTCTAAACACCAACACTCAGCTTAGAATTGTATTTTTTTTTTTTTAGGTATCTTTTTGATCTAAAATAGCTGTGAATATATCCCACTCTTCACCTAGAACTGATCCTTGGTCCCTTTCTGTTTGTTCTATGTGGAGGCTGAGCAGCTGGAAGCAGCCAAAGATACACCAAGGTGCTAGAGCACCTTCATGTCTGTAAGCATTCTTGGGGCACAGGCAGAGACATTCTGTTCCTGGCTGTCAGAACAGCCCATTGAGTTAGGGGCAGGCGGTCATTACCTGAAAAAACAGTGGGACACCTCTGAATTAGGACAGGAGCCTGTCCTAGACCTGGGATGGCCCTAGGAATGAAGAGAGACAGAGCAGTGTAGCATCACTTTTATCTACATGGTGCTGGACATCTCTCTGTCCAAGCTGATGACCTCTTCAGTGAGCTGGGTCATGATTTTTTTTTTTCTCTTGCAGCAAAATTCATCCAAAATATCCCTCCTTTCAAATTTTGGTGAAGGTTCCCATGCTTTTGACATTAAATAACAGCATAAATAGAAGCTCCTGCTAAATAGGTTTCATCTTTGTTTAAATGTTTCCATGTCTGTCCCTAAATGTCCCCCATTCCTGGTGTCAGAATTTTAGCTGTGCCATGAGAAGTATCACACTTGAAGGTGCACCAGCATGCCAAGAATGGTATCTGGAGAGTAGTAATGTCCTGTCTTCCACAGGAACCACTCCTCACATACCCTTCTCTTGAACTGCCACCCTGGCCTTTGCTCGCTGACTCGCTTGCAATCAACACCTGGGGTCTCAGTGCTCTAGTGCCTTTAAATGAGCTCATGTCCTCCACCCAAGAGCATTTCCCAATTCCTTCATGTACTATTCTAACTTGTGCATCCCACAGCAAACTGGTTTCAAGCTGTCCTAGCATCTCCTCACCCTCAGCAGATGGAAGGACAGTTATTGTCATAGAAGCTCTTGGAAATACAGAACAGGGAGGTGGGCACCGAGAATATATGGGGTTTGTTACGTCTGGCTAGCACATGCTTCAAGGCACCTATCTATAGCTCAAAGAGCTGGTGATGACAGCCAATAACCCTTTCCAGCACTGGAGTCACAGTTGTACTGTTGCAGTACAAAAATACGGGTGCTCTAAGCAGCTCATCTCTCAGGCACTGGAAAAGGTACAAATAATGCATCCAAAGAGGAAAAGGAGGGCAAAGAATGGCACTGGTAATCCCTGGTATGAGAAAAAGGAATAGGGAACCCTACACAAGGAGAGAATATATCTTCATGCAGGTTTTATAGTTGGATTTTGAAAAAAAATATCAGGGAGCAGAACTGTGAAGGGAGGCTGTCTGGAATACAGCAGGGGAAGGACAGCATGCAGGGAACTTGCAGACAGCAATGGAGAAAAGGACAAAAAACGGAGCAAAGGCTCCTTGGGGTGTTAGGACCTTTTGTTTCTCAACTGACAAAGTATGTGACCCTAAGCTTATTACTTATTCTGAGATGTTTTCCTGCTCTGATGTCGACTCGTAAAACTCATAAAAACTATTTTTCAGAAGCTTCTTCCTTTAATGACAGTGAGCTTGCATCCAAATCCAGCAATCCAAGTGCATGGTTTTATGCCAGGACATCAGCAAGCTCTCGTTTCACACATAATCTCGTGCTATGTGACAGACAGTGTCATCTGCTGAAAAGGGTTCATTTCAAAGACATGCAAAATGTGTCTTGCCATGAGGGATCCTGTGTTCACTTGGAGGGAGAAAGCAGTCTGTAGCTGTTAAGTTTGCTGCCTTTGCAAGAGCGAAACACAATTTGTGGTGGCTGCATGTGGGATAAAGTCTTAAAAGTTTTCTGATGTTCAGCCTGCTTAAAATCACAGTTATAAAAAAAATTAAAAATAAGATAAAAAGTAATTTTAAACATAATGTTTTAAAAATAGTTCAAAAGCAGTTGAAGATATTGGATAATTCTGTTTCTTAGGAGAAAAAATCAAGACCTTATAAAAGGGGACAGTTTTTCAAGAAGGTATGCTTAGCTTTTTCTGGAAACCATGTCCTTTTGAATTGCCATCTCAGTCACACTCAGACTGGTTTTGGTCCTTTGTAAGAGGATATGGAACTTCAGAGGAAGTTGCAGCCACTTGCACACAATAAGTGTTACCTAATGAGCAGGAATGTCACAACCACCATTTTTTCCTTGCAAAATTAACTGGATATTCTGGTGGTTATTTTTCCTTCCCAAAACTCATAAACAGAGATCGTCCTACACATTCCCTTCTAATGAATAAGTTCTCCCTTATTAAAAAAAACCTAAAGAATGTTGTAGCTTTTTAACAGCAAGAAATTTTTTGTCCTGTATGTGGTGGTTACTGAGTGACTTTCTGCCTTCACCTTAACTAAAAGCCCAGAAGGTTGGTGACAATACTTTCAACTCCTGCTCTTGGTTGCATCATTGAGGAGAAACCGATGCCAGGGTCAGAAGTCAGACATTTCTTTGAAATGGACGTGTTCAGCCCCTCATCCTAACTCTTTTAACACAGGAAGGTAAAAACGTAGAAGTTTCATCACTATGTATAGCATCAACAATTTCAGGCAGTCAGCATGACAAATAAACCTCTCTTCTCATTTCTCAAGGATTGTTTCAGACTCCACTATGAACCACTAACCCATGAGGAAGAAAGGATAGAGTTCTTGTGGTCTGCTTTGTTGAATTCATGCAACTTGCCTGATGCAAAGGAGGTGGTGGGATACGCACCCTGTATGAGGGAAACTGGGGAGAGAAGTTGGATCATAGCAGGAAGAAATAGCAGATGAGAGCAGTAATGAGATTGCTTCAGCTCCTTGTGGAGTTGGAAGAGTCTACATTCACACACACATCCTTGCTTAGTGCAATGGTTCATCCAATTAGTACAATTTTGTCAAGATAATGAAGAATTTTGAAAGCCTCTATTTGCATTGCCTAGATATTTTCAAAGAAATTCATCATTCTTGTAATTAGTGTAGTCTTCTTTCAGAAAAGTGAGCTGCTTGAGCTAAAATCGCGTATATTTTTATTGTTTTGGGTTAAAAGGTAAACAGTGTGTTTTGTTTAGTTTTACTACCAGCACCTTTTGAATTACAGGTGATGGTTAAGGTTAACACTTTCTGTCTGCTAAGGATTAGTGCAAGACTTGTGCAAATCTTAAAGCATGGACATACTGTTTAAATGGAGCTAGCTGGCATGTAGGTATGTTGTTGGTTTGCAGCTTGAATGTAACCCTGAGCCGTGACTCTTTAAGCAATGTGTAAGTTTTGGAAGACTGGAGTATTTTTGGGCTACAAGGAAGAAAGGTCTTTGAATACTACATTCATTTCCATGTGATTGCACATCTAGCCATGCAGACCTGGAATATATGTTGACAAACACTGGTTGAAAATCTTTCTACACCCTTTTGCTGCTGTGACACCTGGTTTATTGCATGAGAGTACACATATATTTCTGCTTATCTTCACAGAAAATTTTGGCAGGGGTAGATGATCTGCAGCAAGTGAAGGTCCTGGAGATGCGAGTAGACACCAGAGAGATCAGCTTGGGTAACTTTGGTAAGAAAACATTTGATTTTCTACTCATCATCTTGAATTTTCCTTTATGGTGAAGTAAATAGACTTTATGGTGAACTGAACAAACTGTTTAATTTGCGTATCAGGTTGCTCTTGCTAGAAGAGTACAGTGACTGATGATTCTCTAACCAACAGTGAAAAGTGTACTGTCCTTCTCAAGAGTTCTTGAAACAGGATCTCCTTGTACCTCACACTCTTTGATCTCTTCTTCTTGTGTGAGCCTCTGAATAGGACTGGAAACTCTGGCAGTGAGATGAGTGACATGACTTCTGTCTAAAGCAAATTAATTTGGACAAATTTTTCCTGTATGATATGCTAGGCCCTAAATGAGCATTTACTCTTGTCTCTAACGAAACAGGAACCAAAGGTCAGCTTCTCTCCACTATGAGATTTCACTGTGACTGAGGAATTGCCAGTGGTATCAGGTGGCTTATGCTTCCAGCAGCCTTTCTTTGCACCCTCTGCAGCCTCACTGAGCTGTGCTGGAAAATGAGCTGGAGGCAGATCCTGTAGATACATCATTTTAATGAGCCCCAAACAGCCCTAACACTTCTCATTCGTTTTTATGTCATCATCACTGAACCAGGGAAGTGAGAACTACCACAGGAATTCCCTCTCTAGCAGAGTTAACACTGAGAATATAAAGCCTTGCATTTTTTTTCCAGTTCTAGCAGTCATTTTCTGTCATTTGGATTCCTACCATACCCCAGTCCATCTTCTGCTACACTGAAGCTGAATAACTACTGCAGGGTAATACTTTCTGTGCTAAAAAAGAAGCCATGTCCCCAAAAACTGTGTACTGGTGCTTTCAGACAAGCAGTTAATTTTTTATATGCAAATAACTAATGCAACAGCTGACTAGCTTTAATGTGTCTTTTGATGTCTATTTGTCAAGAATGGTTGAGCAAGAACAGTGAAGGGGGCTTTTGCTTTGTATATATAGCCCCTTCGTATTGGTTATTCTGCTTATTTCCTGAATAAGTCTCTTTCTCATAGGCACTTGAAAATTTAAGGTAAATTATATCAGTTTCTTTCAGAGATCATAATCTATTCAATCATGTTCCCTCCAATTGATAAGGAAATCTCATTATGCCATTTCTATAATGCTCAAAAGTGGTGCTCCCATTCCTATGCCATTTTACATTAGCTGTGACAGGCTAGCAAAATGTTCCACCTTCATCACTCTCCCCTTTCCTTTCCATTACTGGAATAAATCTCTTCTCCTCCCCATAGTTAGGCTTTTGCAACCCTTACAGAATATGAAATACAGAGCAATATGTCTGTGATGCAAATAATTTCCATCTTGTTTATCTCCCACTGTTCACACCAAGAGTTGGCCCTTGAGGGCCATAAAAACCAGCACCTGCAGGTCCCCACTGCTTTTGAGAATAACAGAACATCAAGACTGCTCTGAATTTCCTTCTGGTTTGTTTTTTTTTTAAAGTGTGTTTCTGAATTTTCTTCCTGTGAAAATCTCTTTCAGCAAATGTCAGCAGGTGGCCAGGGCAGAAGGTTTACTTCTGTTTCTTTCCATTTTTTTCACGTGGCAGATGATTTTTAGGCACATGGAGTAAGGCCTAAATGTTTCGGGGTTTTGCAGAGCAGTTTGCACCCCCACTGTGAATGCTGCAAGCAAGACTGCTGTTGAAGATGTTGGGCTCATTGCTTGCTCCCTGCTGGCTGCCTGCCCCTGGTACTGTGCTGCTGACTGGGTCTGGAGAAATAGCTCTAGGAAAAGAGTAGGGTAAGAAGCAGAACAGCTGGAATGACAGATATTCCAGAGTGACAGGACGTAAAGTTTTCCCCTTATTAGGACAGTCAAACAATAGGAGTATCCAGAGAGGTTTGGAGGCTCCAACCTATCACCATAGGTTTTCAAGTGGGTGGAGACCTGAGCACCTTGATCTCACAGACAACCTGGCTCTGAGAAAGATGCTGGGCTTGAGACCTCCAGCTGTTCCCTCCAGCCTGGACTGCTCTGAAACTCGGTATTTCTTTTGCATTTAAAACCTGGTTAATAAGCTTTCTGTATTCAAGTATTAAACCACTTCGCCTTGTTCTCACCATATTCCTTAGTTGTGGAAGGTGGATAAGAGCATCTTTATCATCAGCAAATTCTTTAGATGATCAGTCCACACTCAGTAAACAATATTGCTTTGACTGGTTTTATGTGCAAAGACCTATTTTAGGTCATGCAAGGTCTTAAATGGCCAGGTGAGAGTGTTAAAAGCTACGAGATTGCACATAACTCCGAGTCATCTGGAACCTTGCAGCACTCAAATCCCAAATTTACACCACAGTTTTCATTTGAGAAACATTTCAAGGTTCCCAGCCTGTGTTACAGACTGTTACACAAACACTCAAGGCCTAAAGATTTCCAGAGTGATTTAAAACTTGTTTCTTGATGTTTTTCTTGAGACCATTCCACTATGGCATGTGCTAAACTTTAAAGCACCATCCTGTTAACCTTGCTCAGTTTGTCAGGTCTGCTTCTACAAAATGGCATGATGTGGTAGGGTGGAAGAGTTACCTTTCTTATGAACAAGGGTGAAAACATTAAAAGGCTGATATCGAAATATTTTCATGTGATCAGTTTTAAAATTAAGGAAAGGCTTCATGCCAGAGCTTAAATCTGAATCTTTGCAGGGCTTGGGGTAATTGCTGAATTCTCTAGCTGTTTTCAGTGCACCTTGCTGAGTGACAGATGAAACCCTGAACACCTTGGCAAGTCTTGCATGCAGCTTTGCATATCTTTGAGTGGATTTCTGTGCTCCTCAGCTGCATGTAGACCTCAGTTCATATTCAAACAGAGGGACTATTTCCTCTTCATTAGCTTATGCTTTCAGTTTTGATTGTTGACAGGTATGGAATTGCATTCATGACTGCCTCATAGAAATTCCTGTTGAAAATAATGGTGGGATAGAGTCATTTAAGACGCTACATAGTCCTCTTATTTCTAAGTAATTTTAATAGCTCCAAATCAAGTTACCCACAGTGCTGTTCGCTGGCCTTTATTGAATTGTTGCCTGCTGGTGGCCAGGCTAAGTTGATTATGTGTCTGGAGATTGCCACTTCCCTTGCAGGCGTTTTATCAAGGCAAGGCTTTGCCAAGGGTTCAGGAGTAGCCATGTGCTATTTCTCACACAGGGTCATCATATCTCTCTCCTCTTGTCCTGTTTGTTGGTGCTCCTGGTGCAGAGCTGGGACACCTTTGCTGGCAGCCAGTATGGCAGCATCAGGTGTTTGCCTGGTCAGGGAGCAGCACAGAGGCTGAAGGAGCAAGTCTAGCACGAGTGTTCCTGCCCAGGATGGTCTTGGCTTAGCTGGTACTGATAAACTCGCTGAGCAGGGCTTGGACAAGCCCCAATCAAACACAGCTCAAGTGAACTAAATAGACTGTTTAATTTGCATATCAGGTTGCTCTTGCTAGAAGAGTACAGCCTGTTTCCATATGCCTGTTTTGTGTTGTAAGATCAACAAAGTACAGTGGTTGCCTGATGCCAATACAAGCGTTTGTCAGTAATTTCTTTTGTTTGTCTTTTACTAGTCTATATCCAAAAGACAAGTCAAGCCACAATGATTTTTTGTTAACAACAGCAAAACAAAGATATATGATGCTACCTAAAAAATACTTCATAATGTAAACAAGAAGTGTTTGAAGTGTTGTAACTTGTAGAAAATAATAAAACTGCCATTTTGGCTGCTTTCTCTTTAGTCCTAGTCAGTTTTCTAAATGTCACCGGCTGTACCAGGGCACCTTGGAAAGACATCTACATTGCTACCCTGCTTGTGAAGTGCAGCACTTCAGGGAGTGTTGCTGAGTGTGTATATCTATCACTTTTATTCACCTAATTTGCACTTTAATTTCTTTCTGCCCTTCATTTAGTTTTGTTCCACTGGTACAGTAGAATAGTTTATCACTATTACATTATTGGTGGTTAGTAATTTCAGAGCCATGTAACAAAACCAGTCTTTAATGGAAGGGAATCGTAGACAGATGAGATTAACGCTGCTTGTCATTCTGAATTCTCAGCCTTGTCCTGAATCATCAGCATTTTTGCAGACCATTCTTGTTTTTAAAAATCCAAATAATACAAAGGAAGGCAGTTTCAGGATAAGGGATATATTGTCTGTACTTCTAAAATTAATATTAGAAGTTAATACAGTTGCATTTTAGACTTTTTATATGTTAGTATCATGTGTCCTTGCTCTGAGGAAAGATGCCATGAGGGTTAAAATTAGGAAAATTAGAAATACACTGTTACATTGGAATAAGTATCTTGTCACCTTCATTTTACAATTTTCTCTTCCTAATTTAAACTTCTGGCCTCTAATCTATTTATAAGGATTTGAGACTCTAAAACCCAGGAAAATCAATGGAACAATGAATTCTTAGCACCAAAGAACAATTACATATTGATATGAAACTTAAAGGAGGGAAGAACCTGCAGACTTGCAGAAATTGCTGGCAGAATTTTGCACTACCACACAATGTATACTTCTATTTCAAGCTAGTAAACCACACATTAAAGTCTAACACTTAACAAGTTCCCAAGGATACATTCTGCCAAAGTGCAAAAAAATATCTGAGATGGAGGATCAAGTGACAATAATGAACTAACCAGATGTGAAAATTATATTATCAGCCTGTCACTCAGCCTCTTTGGATCCTTTAATAGTTGCTTCTTTCCTGAACCAACCCTAAATGCATTCAGTGAAAAGCTTTTTCTCGGGCAAGTCTCTCCATTTCTCTTGACTCCTCATTTAAATCTTCTGCTTAACCCTAGTCCTTAAAACTCTTTTGCCTTGTAATACTTTGCAACAGCCTTTGCTTGGTAACCCTTTTACCTCTCCAACAGAATCCATGGCACTATTGCTTAGTTTTGAGCTAGGACTGGGGAGGCTACTGCATTCCTCTCATTTTTCCCTTTAACACTTCATGGGATGACATTTAATCTCTCCATCCTTGTCAGAAACAGGATAGAAAGACTGCTGTGAGTAATTAACAGAGATCCTAATATTTCCTCTGTCAGAACTCCAAATTATTTTGTTGCCATATATACATATAAATGTATAAAATTCGTTTGACATGAGAAAGCATACCCTGCAGGACGAGGATTGTGTGTTCTAATTTGTTCTCCAATTTTTGTGGATTGTGGAAAATTATTGAAAAACAAGGCTCAAACAATTGCATAGTGTGTTTTGAATTTTTTGTATTTTCAAAAGTGCTTTGCAAAGACATGAACTTAAATACTTGCAGTACAGCTCCAAAATAACACGAGATGTAGATAATGCTTCTGTTAAAACATGATTTATTAAAATATTTTTGCCGTAAATGCTCTTGTTCTGTTTGGGGAATGAACAACATGACCTCCTTTCTTTGCTTTTGAGATCCCACTCCCCTTTCTTTTTTTTAATCCTTTGCAAACCACTCAACTGATGTCCTGGACATCAAACAAATCACACTTGCCAGACAGTGATTACTTAGAGAACTCATAAAAATATTTGCCGAGAATACATTTTAATGTTTCAGCAATGATTCGATTTGTCTAAAATTCGTATTACTTCTACATGATTGCTTGTTATAGGAGGATGCTCACCAGCCTTGAGTCAATTCTACCAGTGGGAATGGGTAAACATTTGTTACTGTCCATAAGAAATAGTTTCTGAGACTTGAGCTTATGTCTGAATTATTCTGTAGTTGGGAAAGATTTGGTGTATGATTTTGGTTCACAGATACCTTTAGATTGAACCAAAAAGGCAAATGTCTCTCAGGGATATGACAAAAAAAAAAAACTTAATTAAGTAATAACAACAGAATACTGAAGGTTTTATATGTATGAAACTTGTACAATTCAATGGTAAATGATTGTATCCAGAAAATTTAAGAGAAGAAAGCAATGCTTTGCAAAATGTACCTTTTGGGGGACCTGTGAACTATAAAAGATGATGTGGTGACATGGAACATTTTTGTTTGCTGTTTGACTCCAAGTTATATTTTGAAGAAGTTACTTGGCTGTGTATCCAGTAAGTCCATCGTTACTTGCCATTAAATAGGTCATGGAATGCTACACTCTAAAGTGTTCCTTAGCTCTGCAGAGTATCACTCAGTTCAGTCAGTCAGGATGGAGAATCAGACCAAAGAAAACAGACACCCATCAAGCCAGTTTCTTTTGTTTTCTGTCTGGCAAGGTGCCATATCAGAATTTCCAGAGAGAGGTTCAAAAATTGTAATTGGGTAGTCATGCAGACAATACGTATGTGTTTCAAAAATGCAAAGGATGAAATATTTTTTGAGTGAAATAATCTCATTGATTTTCTTAGAAGAAATCCAGCACAGGCCTGGCAGAAACAGCTAAGAAATGCTTGTAAAAGTAGATTCTTCAACTTGTAATTGTCAAAAATTTCCTTTACTCTAATCCCAGGTCCTCAAAGTGATTCTTTATTCTCTTCCCACAGGTGTGCATCTGCCTAATCTGAGAGAACTGAAGTTGAACAATAGCTTGCTTACATCTGTGAGGTAAGAAATGAATGATTCTATGAAATAAATATAAAGCCCTGCATTTTATTTAAGTGATAAAATCTTCATTTGTGCTGCTTTCATTCCTTCCATTTCTTCCTGCTATGATAATGGATTAGGTCATGAATAAACGTTCCACTACCACAGAAGCTTAAGGACAGGAGCTGATCTGGAGTAAAACCGTGTAGCTGCAACGGTGCCAATGGATTAGCCCTAATTTGCCACCAGGGAAGTTCCTGCTATGCTGAAGTCCATGGAAATTTGTTGCACATTTGAAAGGAGCTAAAAATTCCCCACTTATCTATGTCTAGGTGCTTGGATTTCAGTGTTTCAGCCTTTGGGCTTTAATGTGCACAGTAGCCTGTTCTGTACAGGTCAGACCAGTTCCTCAGCTGATGAAAATCACTTTGGCTTTACTGAAGTAAATGGAATCAGGTTTATGAGAGCTGCTGTGAAGCCTGCACGTCCCTAGCTTGCTGAGCTGCATGAAAACATCACGTTTTCTCCCAGACAGCTGGGGGCAGTTGGAAAGGTAGAAGTGAAAACCATCACAATTAGGAGGCAGAGCTGTCTTCTCTCTCCTGTGCTGATATCTGTATTACCCTTGCTAATTAATGCAAAGTGGAAAAATAAGTTGATGTCAGAAAAGGGCTGTTTTAAAGGCCCTGTTTTAAACAGGTCTGCTCTCTGTCTTTGTATGGCTATCTGCTAAACTCATGGGGCAAAAAGTAGTGGGCTTGCCAGTTCTTGTTAAGAGAACATGTCATTAGAAATGGCAATCAATCCTTCTTGGTCTCTCTAAAGTATCTAATGAACTTCAGTTGCTACAGCCTGATTTTATTTTCTCTTGTTCTGGTGATGAGATGAAGTATTTTCAGTCTAAATTTTGTTTTTCTCACTTTCTAATCCATAACATGTAAAAGCGGTGATTCTACATTGCTGCAATTATTTTAATAGCAGCTGACCATTGTAGCAATGGAGGAGTAAGTAGTAGGAGAAAAAAATACTAATTTTGACAATATTAAGGGATATTTGCCAATATTAAGAGATATTATATTAAAAAGAAAATTATAAAAAGTGGTTTTTAGTTTGATGAAAACTCCATATTCTCTAAAAAAGTGTCAACAGAAAGCCTTTTGATCAGTTCTGTTGGTACTGAATATTAGAATGCAGTTCAGGAAAACTAAACTGCTTGACTCAGGGTCTTAGCAGGATTTTGCACCTCTGTATTCTGAAACTAATTTCTGTCATGTTAAGTTCTAGCAAACGATTTTCTTTGACCTGACACTCTTGTGGACCTTGATGCAGGGAATGCTTGGTCCCACGTTGAGTTTTGATTTGATCTACTCTAATGTAAATATGTTTGGGCTTATATATCAGGTTTAATATTGTGATGATTCCCAGGCACTCCAGCCCCAGGAGATGCTACCTGCTCCTCCTTCTGTGTGCCAGTTAAATGCAATTGTCAGGGAATAGGTAAAGGAAGAAGACTTTGTTAGCTCTCCCAGATATGGACTTAGTCTGTACAGTTGCAGCAGTATTCCTTTATTAATTCCCATCTTTGACAATCTGTCATTGATAAACACAGATCATTTAAGGGAAAATCCCATGCAAACACAGCCTTGTACTTGAACTTTATTTTTTGATGTCTGCATCATGTCAATTTAATGCCCATTAGAGCAACATTGCTGCCACAGCAGTAGTGATGCCTGCTATACCTAATGTAACATAGCTGCTCCCATTCTAGAGGCCGCTGCCATTTACTCCAAAATTCAGAATCTTATTTCTGAATTAATCTTGTTGATATTTGAATTCTGTCCAAAAAGTGATTTTGTTTTATTCAACCAAACCCTTGCAAACGAGGCTTTTGAGGATGACAGAAAAAAGTGTTCTTCCTTCTTACTGAAAGTAATTGTCACAGATTTTGCCAGCCATAAGGTCAGAATCATTGTGGTTTTAATTTGAAAATAGGCAGCAGACAGTATGAAACATCTTGTAAGGATTGACTGGAAGATTGATTTTATTTACTGAAAAGAAGGCAGGGATAGAAAAGCAGAAAAAAAGGTAGAGGGTGTTTTGTCTATGTTTGGGATGTTAAAAGCAGACATTCTTTTCATTCTATTTTATGTTATAAAAACATTCTGGTGAATCATTATGAAGAAAAGGCTGTCAGTGTGCATGCATGAGTGGGTAATAGGATGGGAGATTTTGTGTTTTGTCACTTTATTTTTGTTTCATCTTGTCTTGCAGAGTAGGATTACCTAATTATTTTGGGGTAAAATGGAATTAAAATGTTTTTTGTTTTTGGGGGTTTTTTTCATTTTGAAAATGGAAGAAGAATTGACTTGGTAGATATCAAAGTGCAGGTTTATCATCCTGACTTTAGTTCCTGGGGTTTTTTTTAATGGATTTATTCCTGTCAAACTCACATAGGAACTTAAGTTGTGAGGATACTGAGGTGTGTGCATTGCCATGCACTGTTCAATGAAAATCAAAGGAGTCATGTTCTGGCAGTGAGGAATCAAAGTGTTCTTGGATTACAGTTTTCTATGCCTGGCTAGGTCAGTGAGTTTGGATATTGGCTTCTCCTGATAGTTCCTCAAGAAGAAGTTGTGGTTCCTTTGATGGGGAATGTGTTTGAGCTTGTGAATTCAAGGCCCTTCCTCAGTCCTCCTAAAGTTTGCATTACTTTTGAATACTTGAAACTTTTAAAGGACACCATTATCAACTATTTAAATTAATTCAAAAGGAAAATATATCCAAGATTATTTGCAGTGATCAATCTTGGCAGTTGAAAGGGAATTTCTTTCTTGGCTGTTTCTGGGTTTTGGTTTTCTACTGGCCCTTTGCTAAAGGGAACACCTCTGAAAAATACAATGTATTGTGAAAAGAAAGTTGTTCATATTGTTGTTAATTTTCTAAATCACAGTAATTTCATTATGTCCTTGTTTGGTGACCTTCACCCATTTACTAGCAACTGAGAAATTTTAAATCTATGAACTGATAATTGAAGATGAAAAGTCAAGCCTATTCTGAAGAGTGCCTGCTAAAATCTGCCTTTTTGTTGTTGTTATTGTTTTGTTGGGGTTCTTTTGTTTGTTTCTTCATGATGGCTATGGTCCTTATTTTTGAAATGCTTCCAGTAAAAGAACTATATTCCAAGGCTAATGAATTACTACTTCTGCTTTGGCGTGTAGCCTGTGTATTTTTTTATCAGATTGCTTTTATTCTCAATTCAGGGATGAATGAAAAGATCTGTTTAAAAATGTTTAGATAATTATCTCTATGAAAGGGCTTTTAAATCAGAGAAGGGAATCTTGGATCCTGGTTCCCATAAGTTTCCAGAAGAAGCTGTTTCAGCAGCTGAAGTTCATTTCCTCCCATTCACCACTACACATTGTAGCCAGCAGAAGAGTGATCTGCTCTCAGGGCCTCTCAAGCAACTCCTTCAAAAAAGAGAGGCTGTCATATTTTAAGTGAGATGAAATGCAGAGACTGCAAAGTGTGGGGACAAAAGTGAGTATGGAGGATACAGGGAAAGGAAAGCAGATTTTCTTCATCCAGATTGAGTTAATATTTCATTGCTGCAGTTCTCTAATTGGTCTTGCACTACTGCAGAAGCATCCCCCAGAACAATCCTGGTCTGTTTCAGTCAGTAAAATCATCAAGAGTTCAAATTAGCAAGGTGCAGAGTACATTCAAAATCAACAATTCTTATGCTTTTATGAGCCTTAGGTTTTTGTTTTGTTTTTTTTTAGCACCAGCCCCCAGAGACAGGACTAGCAACACAGGAGTCCCTGTATGCACATTTTGAAATGTTTTGAGCCTGCTTGGCTGTGAAAAAAACAATTGTAAATATGAGCCAAGTGATTTGAGTAAAGATTTTGCTGATCATTTTATGGCTTTAAGAAATCAGAGCCAAACTAATTCTTTCTTAATTTAGGGTAACAGCTCTAGAGTAATGTTTAAAGTATTTTTTGAGACTTGAATCAGGATCTTTAGGTATTTTAACTTAGCAATAAACCTCCTTTTTACCCAAAAAGAGTTTAAGGAAATATCTTGTGTTTTTAAAGCCACAAGAAGTTTGCCTTCAGTGGCATTGCTCACAAGCTGAAAATTAAACGTTGGTCCAGTTGCTTTGCTGCATCTGGATAAAGTTACACCATCTTGTATAAGACTAAGCTATGACACTGATTATCCCAAAATTTGATGTACTGATAGTGTGTCTAGGCACCAACTGTTTTCTGGATAGTTTTCCCTCAAAAAGGAGGAACTAGGAGCATCATTCTGCTATATTTGGTTTTTTTTTTCTTTATAATTTTTACTTATTCCCTTCCTGTCACTTTTTTCTTTTTCCCCCTCTACTTTTTTCCCCTCCTTTTTATTCTGCTTGTCATTTCCAATCTTTTGCACTTACTGGATTATCATATTTGATATATAGTAACATGTGCATAGGTGTCACATGTAAAAGCAATGGGTTTTGTACAAGGATCAGCATTGCTGTTATGTTATTTAAAATCCCAAATGTTTTCTAAAATCAATTCAGTTTGCATTACAGGTGCAAATGTTTGATATATTTACAAACATTTGTAAATATATCAAACATTTACAAACTGCTGTGTTACAGCAGTTTCTTACTGTGTTTAGCAAGGAATCAGGGTGCTCTTGCTCTAGATTGTTCTTACACGTGCACTCAGAGAACCACTGTTCTGATTTGGTTGGGGTGAATCCCCTCATGCCCTTATTTCAGCACCCAGAGCGTTACTGTTTACTTTCATATTCACATTTCAGGATGGGAAAGCATTTAATTTCAAATGCAAGCTAGTTTCTGTAGGAAGTGCTCCTGTTAATTCTTTTGTGTAGCTGGACTGAAAGTCCTTCAGCAGTTAAAACTGCTGTGAAGTCTATCTTAAGAACATGTTCTGTGAGGACTTTGAGTGCTTTCCAGGAGCCAGGAAAGCATTTAAATTGAATCTTAATCTCTATTAATAGTCTTCTCT